TGTTGCGTAACTTAATTTTGAGGTAAGTTAAGTGTGTTACATGAATCACGCTCACGCAAGACTAACAGCGGTGTGAAAGTCCTGTGTTTTTTTTATACATCCATCCCAACCTTTCCCTATGCGGAATATAGTCTTTATAACGTCGCCTGATTTACACCTTTGCTCCCGTCATAATTACTACGGCCACTAGAGGTTGCTGCCTGTCAATAAACTTTAGTAGTAAGATAGCTTGCACGAAGAGCCTACACTACAGATAAGGCAATATGGTAAATTGGCAGGGGGGGTTCTCCCTGCCCCCACTCCTAGGTCAACAAAACTTTATAATTTCTCCTTATCAATTTTAAATGCTACAGAGCTAATGTTCAAGTCAGTCTCCTACAAGACAATTTTACCAGAGAAAAAGAACTTCCTGAAATTTGAATTATTACATGTCTTCTTCAGTCACAGAGGACATAAAAGGTGCTTACACTGCTCAGCTGTGTTTGGTTCATTGTGAAGCTCTATTCTTAATATCATAAAACAATATGTTTTTGAGGTATTTAAGGCAAGGCCCCTGTGAAAAGTATGATTTCTTTAAATAATCAAGTTATTTAATCAACTGAAAATAAGTGACTGAGCTCATGTGATACATTCTTACTATTCCTTTTCATCCTTTTTATACAAGACAGAACATACAATATTCTAGACTCAAATTTTTTTTCATGATTTTTACTTTTTAATTGTATTAACTTAAATTCAGGTCTTAGACTTCACTTACTTGTTTTGATACATCTAAAACGCATTTAATGTTGGAATTTGCGTATAAAATATCTCTCAAGCTTTACATTTTGAAGTGAAAGTGCTTTCAAAGAATTCTGGTTGCTACTCACTTTATACTGTATGTACTCACTGTATGAGAGTCAAAATGAAAGTTTTTCTCAAAATTGTATATCTCCAATATGCCTTTGAGATCTCTGTCAGATTACCATCCTGGAGAAGTGTCTTCAAATGAAAAATAAGTAATAAAAAACAAAACCAAATTCCAAACATTTTATAATCAGAATTTGAATGTCTATGCGCAAGCAACAAATTGCTCACAGAATAATGGAATAGAGTATTTTCTTTACTGTTTTATACAGTATGCTGCATCACCTCAAATGGAGTAGGAGGCTTTAAGTGGAAGCAGTGAAGTGTCCCTGCTGCAGGAGCAGAGCTTATAGAGCCGCCCGGCGCTGCCAGAGAAACATGATCAAATCAAGGTGTTATTGGGAAATGTACTCTCCGGACAGTAGGAGGGATTTAACTGCTGACTCAGCCTCGATTGGTCAGGAGCACTGTGTCACTCGAGTTCAGGGTTAAGGACAAGTGTGACTAACCAGAAAGATTATGGAATGTTGGGGATTAAACACTGCTACAACACATATTGCTTCCATGTTTGGGCGAAACACACTCTAAAATCTTCCCCATGTCTTTCTGAAAAGCTAAAAACACATTTGGTGTAACATAAATTAGTATCTCTTGTTGGACTGGATGATAAAATAGGCTGATAATGTTAGCATTCAACAACTACAGCTCTTATGCAGGACTCCCATTGACCCCAATTCCTCCCACTCTCTATGTACTGCGTATGCATTCTGTTTCTTACCCACGGCGCACTACGCATGATACATTCCTAGTTTCATTTCAATTTTACTATATTTTGCCTGGAGCTCCAGAAAACAACCACCTTTTGTGGAATGTATACCCTGCCTCACTTTATTTTGTGAAATAGATTCTGGAAATTGTACAAATACATATTATTTATGCCACATATGCATAGAATACTTCTAATGCTACAGGAGGTGTTAGCTCATCTAGAGATAAGTAGTCAACATAAATGGGTCTTTTTGTTGTACTGTTCTGCTGTCAGGAATAAGTTATACATTTTGCAAGGGAGTAGTTGTAAGAAATTAGGGTTAGGGTTTGTTTTAACTTATTTGACCACTAGGCCTTTTTCGCAACTTAAGATTTGAAATCCAATAGCAGCAAAGGCATAGGTGTATTAATGACATTTAAAATCACTGCACCGTATGGAACAAAGCAGTAACATCATTAGTTCTTTAGTGCCAAACATACTGAACAGTCTGCAGCAACACTTTTTTGCGATTGAATGGCAAGGCTGACGTTATTTTTTAAATGTTTGTGTATAAAACCAACATAGCCAAGCATGTTCCTACTGAAGCTCATCAAGACATACATTGTTTTTTAAAGAGGTTAAGTAATTCCCTAGTAAACTGGGCGTTGGACCACAGTGACAATGCTTACATGCACACTACTATTAGAAATCTTACAGTAAACCAAATGTTACGGGTGATGTGAACTGTATATTCTGTTTGGATATTTCCAATCGTGCCTGATTTTCGAATGAAGACGTGGGATATGCAAATGACTATTATTCAGGTTTTAGGAGTGTTCTTTGAACATGGATACAGAGCATTCAGAATATGAGAAGTTGTTTTTTTTAACCACAGTTTGCTACTTTTAATATATGTGACACTGATCCAGACTCATTTGTAATGATTGGTTTTATTTGCAGGGGTTGCACGTGAACGGCCAGCAATTTGAAAGAGCAAAGTCATGGTATTGTTTTGCAGATTTTAGAGACTGGGTTGGTCACTTGTCAAATTCTGTATTGATATTCAAATCAGTCTTTTTTGCGATTATAGCATTTTTCCAAAAAAAAAAAAAATCAGGAGATGCTGATGTGTTTTGGGTGTTTGGACCATTCTTTAAATGATGCATATATCTCATTCCAAATAAGAGCCTCAAGTTGGGTTTGAAAATAGTTTTCATCACTTAAACCACCTTGCCTGTTTACGGTCATCTCTGTGCGACAGACTCAAAGCACCTAACCAGCAGTTTGCAAGGCTGGTGTACAAACGCATGCTCCCCCCCAAATAAACACATTTCTAATCGGAGGTGGAACTAAAGATTTGTAACATCCTTTTATAAACCTTTTAAACGTTATTAAAAGCTGTGATAAACCAACTGTTTTTTGGAATTGCACAAATATGGCAATGCATAGAAGGTGGCAGTATGAAAGAGGGGGCCCGACAGTGAGAAACGTGTAAACAACTCAAGGGAAATTTGTCTTTTTCGGATAAAGCCGAAAAATTGAAGTGAACCGGCTGTGAATTGTGGGTTTTTGGTTATTTCATTGGATTTGTCGACAATAGGAAAACTATAGAACATTCCCATCCTTGTTGTTTGATATTTGTTAATGGTATTTTTTTTATCATTGACCCAAAAGCCAATCAAAACAAAAACTGCCACCAAAAATCCTTAGACCCTTATTATTATACTAACTTAGGTTAAGAAAACCAATGATATTCTTCTTTATTTTTGGGAACGTTTGTAGCCAAGACCAATTCAATCTGTGTACGATGTGTTGGTATGTTCTATATTCCTCACACTCGTCTGTGTTGTTTTCTACTTGACCTCTACTAGGTTACAGTATTTTGAAGCCCTTGTCCTACTGCAGATATTACACAATCAATTTGCAGATTGTGTCTGGGGAAGCGAAGGGTAAGTGACACTTCAGCATGGGAAAAACGCCACACCAAAAGTAGCAAGATAACTTATCCAGGCAAACATTTTTGTGAAATGCATAAATGAGGTGCTATAAAAAAGGAAGAACTGGAGTTATTTTGTTTCAGAGAGCGGGGAAGGAAGCAGTTAGCAACTTTCAACCAACAGAGTCAAACAGCAGTGTGTGTGTGTGTGTGTGTGTGTGTGTGTGTGTGTGAACATGACTCTGAGGGAGAGAGCTGACACATAATGAGGTGCAAGAAAAAGCCTTCATTCTGCATTGTACTGGCAACAAAATAATAATAATAATACCAGCCGTGACTAGAGGCAGGGAAATCCAATTACTATAGCTATTACTCCCTCTGCTGGTGGACAGCCAAGAGGGACAATAGAAGTGATGTGCTCCAACTTTACCCAAAGCTTTAGTATCTTCACCCTTTGACCTTTTCAGTGGAGACACTTGCCAGAATATGGGCTTTTGGGGAAATGTGGGCTCAGCAGTGGATGCTGGCTATCCTAACAATTGAAGCTCATGGACAAAAGGGCATTTCCACTGTACTGTAGGCCTCTGTTGAAAACATATATTAAAGGACTTAAAGAGTCTGGCTTAGATGCACCTGCTCTACGCAGCTGAGACAAGCAAGGCTGTGTACGAAGGTAATGCATAATACTGACAGCCAGAGGTCATGGTTGGATTACATTAAGATGTGACACTTTAAGGTTTTCTTAGAAACCAAATGGAAGTGAATCTCACTACACTTTAGGTTTACAGTTGAATGTGATCGATTCATTTTTAAAGACTCATTTTAGCACCAAACAGGAGGTGGAGTGTGATGGCAGCGCTCCATCTGTTCCTTCAAATCTCCAAACAGGGCTTCTGTGTTGTTTATAGCAGAAGGGCTGCTCTTTCTAAGTAAGCATCCACAGTTAGGCCCAACGTATATTTATATGACCCTGATCGAACAGGACTCGTAGGTGACAAAAATGCACCCACTCACCTCACCTTGCATTCATCTCCAGTAATAAAAACACACAAAAAATCACCTCTATCAATGCATATGCATTATGCAAATAGTTTCACCATGTGCCCGGAGGTTAAGCAGAGGAGAAGCAGACAGCAGGTGGAAAAGTATACAAGGGTAAAGCCATATCAACTGTACTAAACTGTAATCTTACTGTACATTAATATTAGTAAAATAAGTCGTGGGAAGCAGGGAGGAGATCAATAGCTTTATTTATATGTGTATTATTTAAAGGTGATTTTGGTTTTGTATTGCCCCGTGATGTAGGCTACAGCAGATTTGGTTAATTTAATGATGTTATCGATATTTTATTCTGATCAGGCTAAGTTTAAGGTAGGCTATATCCAACTTCTTTCCTTTTTTGGATCGCTCCACTTACGCACGACATAATAGGACAGCTGCAAGAAGTGAAAAAGCAAAAGGTGATCTCACCAGGTGAAAAGATCCCCTCCAACGAAGAGCACAGCAATAGTCGCCAGCAGGAAAGTTGGGATCTCCATTCCGCAAGCTTTGAGATAAATAATTCAGGGGGTAAAACAATTAAAAGTTTCCCGGAATAGAAATCGTCGAGAGAGAAAAAGCCACAGAGTTTTATTTTAGCGCGCTCTCCTCGTGATCCGGCGCAGCAGAGAAGAAAGTAAAGTGTTGTGCTGATGCTGCTGAAGTTGATGATGAAGATGACCCCATCTTGATGCTCCACACAATTCCTCCGCGTCCGGGAGCGCACAGGAGCAGAGCGCACCGAGGGAGAGGAGAGGATACCCGGGCAGACCGCAACAACCAGCCGATCCAACGCTTCCGCTACCGTCTGTCCTCCAGCTGAGAGAGAGGGAGAGATGGAGAGAGAGTGTGTGAGAGAGAAATGGAGAGAAAGAGAGAGAGACTCACTAATCTTTCAATTCCCTCCGATGCTTGGCCTCAGATTCAATCTGGACAGAGAGGCGGCTGATGTCATCATGAATATAGGACTTCCGTTTATTATGCAATGTTTGACACGTTTGGTTCACATGCATTAGGTTATAACATGTCTGAAATAATGTCGTATTTCACTCTGGTGGAAACAGGAACAAGTGGGTTGGGGCCACCCAGAAGTCTTGAAGTTCCTCTGGGGGACTTTCCCCATATTAAAGAAGGTTAACATGGGGTGTTTTCACTTGGCCCCTTCAAGTCAATTTGACCTATGAGTATAATAAATAATGTATTTTATCTTCGATACGGAAGTTGGTGAGTTATCATTATATTGAACAATTTCCAATGGGACCCTGGAACCACCCACGGCTGATATTTACTTTTGGACAGCAACACAAGGAGAAACTACTTCGAAGTAAAGCATTATACACTTTTCACATCTGAATGTTTCTCTTAACCCATGGGATTATAACACTGTTTATGTAATGTTCAACAAAAACCCAGTGGAGATTTGTCACAGAGGACAATACGACCAATACTGATACAAAAACATTTTCAAGAATATGAGGGGCACACCATGGTGGAGAATCGCATCAAGGAACCTTCATTGTTTGTCATCACACATCTCTATCTGCCTATTTTCAATCATCAAGTAAAGTAGTAAAGGCATTAGATTTGCCCAAAAGATTTGCCCAAAAGAAACAGTAGAACCTAGACCCTAATTACAAAGTTTATTAATCCAACAATGGTGCATGGTGCAGCCTTAAAGGTTAACAATATCTGACCAACACCAAATTTCCCTCAGTTAGAAAATACATTTGGCTCAATAATAACTGAATGTGTAGTTGCCAGCCAATTTTGTGCTGAAATGAACTGACATCTGTGAGTACATTCATGTAATTTAGGTTTGATCTATACATGTTGAACTCCAACCCAAGCAAAAACCAAAACAACAAGGTGTAAGCACATCTCGCTCCTTGGGAAGTATTCTATGAAAATCCAAGGGATTTATTGTATTATACATGTATAGGCATTATATGAGTCCCAGAGATTATAATCTCCTCTCAGTGTGATTGAAAATCATATTGATTGATAGGAAATGTATGATTCTGTGAAAAATATTCCTGGCTTTATTTTTCTCCTTATTAAAAGTAACCTATTTTTTATGTGGGACCTGCCCTGGTTTCTGCTGGCTCACTTAAGATTCAGTGGCTGTGAATTCAAACCACCATCTCTCCCACAGGACCTTCTGCTTGAATTTCCACTGCAATTATCTTTTGATATGAAGATACCAGGCTGCAGTACATGCTGCAATGTACTGCATTGGATGTACTACTCTCTCAACTATCTCTTATTCCTTTCAGTCCTCTCACCCTCATGTATTCTCTTTCTCCATGTCTCTGCTCACGCTGGTCTCCTCTGTTGATTATGTCAGCTGGAGTCTTTGTTTTCCTCACTGTTACTATGCTCTGCCTTTATCTCTCCAACAAAACCTGCCTCCATATAGTTAGTCAGTCCCCCATGGTGATACAAAATGTTCCTGTATCACAACATTTGAATATGTTATACAGTAGGACACACTTCTCTCCTTTCTCCTCTTCTGATTCCTCTTCAACGTTGTGAAGGATTAAAATAAAGCTTTATTGTGTCCAATAAGGGAACATCTTCAAAGCTCATTGTCCAATACTGACCAACTACAAATGAATATATTTTTGGAGTGTAAATCAGAAACAATATCTTGCATGCTTGACAAAAGATTTTTGCATAACTCACAGGTTTGCCATTCTCTCTGAGCCAGCTGAGCTATTTTTTGCTGAGTGTGGACTGACAGATATCAGCCGGAACAAATATATTGGAAGGTACAGTTGTCAGCAGTCAGAAAAGGTCACTGTTGTTTGATAAAAAGATTGTCATTCATTCAGAGGTGGGAGAGGTACTCAGATCGTGTACTTGAGTAGAAGTAGACCACACCAGAGTGTAGGAATACTGTTACAAGTAAAAGTCCTGCATTCAAAATGTTACTCAAGTAAAAGTACAAAAGTATTAGCATCAAAATAAACTTAAAGTACCAAAAGCAAAAGTACTCATTATGCAGATTGGTCCATTTGAGAATAATATATATGACATGTTTTGATTATAATGATTGATGCATTAAAGTGTTATCAAATCTGGTAAAGGTGCAGCTCAATGACTTTGTATGCTGCAGTAGCAGCATGTGAATGTTACTCCAGGTTTAAATAAAGTCCTTTTTAAGAGTTGATTATATTTCACATCATTAATCCAAATCTGTAAAGTAACTTAAGGTAGCCTATTAATGTAGTGGAGTACAAGAAGTATACACTATTTACCTCTGAATTGTAGTGGAGAGTAGAAGTACAAAGTAGCATACAATTATAATACTCAAGTAAAGTACAAGTATCTCATAAGTGTACTTAAGTACAGTACGTTTGAATAAATGTAGTTACTTTACTCCACTGCATTCATTACTCCTTTAATGCTTCGATTAATACAGCAAAAGTAAGACACCAACGGTTCAAACTTTAACATATTGTAACATAATGCCATATACAAATAAAAGTCAAATATTTTACGAGGTAAAATTACACATGTTTTGTCCCTGAGAACAATTGTGCACAACTTTTGTCATTTCAGTTATTAGCTTCTCGTGTAGCTAGTTAGCCACCTGCATCTTTCAGTTGGTAGGCCAGTTGACAGCTAACGTCCTCGTGGGGCTTCAAGACCCCGCCCCCTGAGTCCAGTCTCCGTGGAAACACTAACAAACATGGCGCGTTAACTTTTGCGGTTAGATTCAGTAACTTTGAGAAGATATCTTGCCAAGAGAAGGAACGCCAAGCAAAACGAGGTAACAGCTTATGTTTGTTAAATTAATTAACTAAATGTGAAACAGCTTAATTCAAGCTTTTATTTTACATTCACGTAACTTGTTGACATGCTTTCCAGAAAGTGGAGACAATCTCATTCTCATCTATCGAGAGACGACACGCCAAAGTCCATTCAGAAATCTGGTTACTGAATGTTTCCCTACTAATTGGCAATGTCGCACACCTGTAAAATACGAGTTATTGTCTGCTGCAGTTCAGTGACAGGCACTCTTTGAATCGGCAGACATATAATCCACCATATAACATTTCAAAATGAAATATTAACGTTTTAAATGAGGGAGGCTAGCTTAACATTGACGTGATGACTTATAATGAATAAAAGCTGTATCTGCCGGATGAAAATAAGTGGTTTAAAATAAGTCAGTGAGCATTGCCAGGTAACATTTCTGGCAAATAAAAGATGTTTGTTACCCTTCAGTACATTTTCGGGGATATGTTGAGATGTGTCTGACATTATGCACCTGTGTCATTTAGAAATCAGGTGAAATGGACGTTGAAGAAGACAGGGAAAGTCCATTTGATGATGAAGCGTCAGACAGCACTGATGAGGACAATGAGGGTGAGTGACAGCTGCTGTTGCTCCATTGTTTGCAAAATGCAGATTGTAGTCTACTCTCTACTGTACTTGCAGCCACTAAAAGATACCTTTTCCTCATAGCATAGTCATATAAAAGCCACGTATTTTTGTATTCATTGGTGTTAGGAGACTGGGATATACTAACTTAACATATTTTCATTTTGAGAAGATGGTCCAGGCCAGGAGTCATTTAAAGATGAAGAGGTTGCCCTCCCTCCGGATTTCGAGTGGTTAGAAGAGTTGTATAAGTGAGTTTTGCTTTTCTGTGTATGCTATTGTAGTTTGAATATAAAGTCACTCTGACTAAAAAAATTAGTGGCACATACATAAACACCATTACTTTATTTAACTCGGTTGCATAACATCTCTTTTTAACACAAAATAAATAAAAGATACAATAAAAAGAGCAAATGTACAAACAATAGAAAAACTGAGTTGAAAACTATGTTAACAAGAAAGATACATTATTTTTATTATATTACTTGTATAAGTCTTCCACTTTTAAAACCTCATTACAAACAAATCCAGGCTACATTGGTATCAATACATGAGTGTACATAATGCATAGTCATATATTCCATTAAACATGCCACCTTTCCTAAGTGTCATTTTCCATCTACATGCCAACTTTCCTAAGTGTCATTTTCCATCTGCCTGAAGAGAGGACGATGGTGATGGTGACCTTGCGGTTGCGGCCGTCAGCGGTGAGAAGAGGAGTTATGCCGAGACAGCACGGATGTTCAAGCTGAGACGAAACCTGGACCAGCTGGACTGCTTTCACCGACAGAAGGAGCACGACGTGCAGAAAGCCAGGTCTGAGCCTGGCAATCAACTGACCTTTATAGTAAAAGTAGCAACATAGCCTAGATAAGAGATCCATGTGCTTTTAAGACTCTTATAAAACAAGCACATGTAATGGATTTCAGGAAAACTATAAGTCTACACATCTTCCTTCGAAGACTGAAAACTAACCTGTTTTGCCTGAACCTTGGCCATTAAACACAAAAAAAAAATGTAATACTTAAAGGGGCCCTTTTATGCTCATTTTTAGGTTCATATTTGTATTTTGTGCCTCTACTGTGACATGTTTAAATGCTTTAATGTTCAAAAAGCTCTTTATTTTTCTCATACTGCCTGTGCTGCCGCACCTCTTTTCACCCTCTGTCTGAAACCAGAGCCCAGTCTGCTCTGATTGGTTAGCTGGCCGGCTCTGTTGTGATTGGTCAACGGCTTAGCCTTTCACTTACAATGGTTGTGCCAAGCCCCCAGGAAATGCTCCGGACTCTAAGGAAAATATTCGTAGTGGCCAAACGCAGTACCACAACTTCCGTATCAGTCCGTGATGTCACCCGGCCCAGAAATACTTTTCCCCATTGACTAACATTGGGGGGAAAGAGTCTGTAAATCAGCAGATCATTTTTTTTTAACTAAATAGAATACCCAGTATGTACAGAGCCCTGGAGAGTTCATAGAGAGAAAAATAAATAAAACAAGGCCACGTTTTATTAATTCGTGGCCTCAATTTAAATAAAACGAGGCCACGTTTTATCAATTTGTGCGCACGAGATGTAATTCGTGGCCTCAATTTAAATAAAACAAGGCCACGCTTTATTAATTCGTGTGCACGATATACTTTCTCAGATACTTTCTTATGGTTAGACACATCAAACTGCCCGATTATTACGCCATATCATTAGTTTTATGAAGAAGATGTCCGGTCGTGTGTGTGTGTGTGTGTGTGTGTGTGTGTGTGTGTGTGTGTGTGTGTGTGTGTGTGTGTGTGTGTGTGTGTGTGTGTGTGTGTGTGTGTGTGTGTGTGTGTGTGTGTGTGTGTGTGTGTGTGTGTGTGTGTGTGTGTGTGTGTGTGTGTGTGTGTGTGTGTGTGTGTGTGTGTGTGTGTGTGTGTGGTGTGTGTGTGTGTGTGTGTGTGTGTGTGTGTGTGTGTGTGTGTGTGTGTGTGTGTGTGTGTGTGTGTGTGTGTGTGTGTGTGTGTGTGTGTGTGTGTGTGTGTGTGTGTGTGTGTGTGTGTGTGTGTGTGTGTGTGTTTTCAGAAGATATTATGATAGTGGCGTTCGTTCCGGTGCACTCCGACAGCATTTAGCACTAGCCTACATCGAGATTAAGATTAAACACATTTCTTTCACTTGGGAATACGCATATGGAGTTAGCCAGATGTGTGTAAATTACTGTTCATGGTAATTTGAAAACAAATGCCAGTGTCGGACACACACATACACCGAACACACACAGAGCGGAACTGAGCAGAGCAACGTAAGAGCTTGTGCCTCTTCGGGGGGTGCTAACACTTAAACATAAACTTTATCCTTTACTTTCTCCGTCTTTATATGAAGATATGACTTTTCTCCGTTCATCTCCGCTCCTTTTCTCCGTCACGTTGTTTCCATAGAAACAACAACTTCCTGTCAACAGCGTAAACTCGCCTTCAAATTCATAGATCAAGGCAGACTGTTTCACAGACTCTCCTGTTTTGCGAATCCGGTGCTTAAACAAATAGCTCCACACCTCTGGCCGAAATGTCCCTAAAATGAAGTCTGAGTTTGAAATATATCTCAAATAATGTATGCACTGCCATTTACCCATATAAACATAACAGTCTGCAATGAAACGGTTGTCTCCTGTGCGCTCCACTTCCAACTTGACGCACCGGTAACTTTTGGTGCGCACTAAAAAGTTTATCGTGCGCACAAATTAATAAAGCGTGGGCTCGTTTTATTTAAATTGAGGCCACGTTTTATTAATTTGTGCGCACAAATTAATAAAACTCGTTTTAATAAATTGAGGCCACGAATTACATCTCGTGCGCACGAATTAATAAAACGTGGCCTCGTTTTATTTATTTTTCTGTCTATGAACCCTCCAGGGCTCCGTAAGTATGAACACTTTTATAGCCCTTATTCAAATAATTCGTTCCTTAAAGTTGTAAAATGCACTAGAAGCCCAATCCAGATTTATTTCCTCTTTCCATTCATTCTACTGAGCCGAAAGCAGGAGATCGGGGCGGGGCTTAAGAGGACACTCAACTGCGCATGCTTTAGTCTATGAGTCCACATACGGGGTGTTTCTCAATGTCGAGGAAAGCTGCTCCAGAGCCACTATTTCAAGCATACTACGTCATCGAGTCCCGCCGAAGGACTGTTCCAATGTCCAGGATACTTGGAATTCTACCGATGCCGGCGTACTTCGTTGCGGGAAATGTTGAGGCTGCACATGTATATCCTCCGCGGTCTTAAAATCCCCACAATGCTTTGCGCACGGACCAATTTCCAAATCTTTGGCGGAAATCGCGCTCCATTTAAGGCGGGGCCTCACATACGACGCACACCTGCACACCTGTTAGCCTGTTCCACCATTCTTCGTTTTCCGAGGCTAGGAAGGATTCTTGCCTCGCTTCTGAAGCAACTGACTCGGAGGTACATGTGCTACCAAGCAAGCCTCCTCGACATTGAGGAACACCCACGGACTTCTGCTCTGACAGCCAGTAACGACGGGTAATCTGTGACGTTTTACTCTCGAGAATCTCATGCCATTTTGTCCTCATGCGCCAATAAGCAGCAGCTTCATAGGAATGAACGAGGTCCTACTGTACCTCCGATGCTGTATCCAGTTCTTATTGCGACCCGTCCACACAGCGGCGTGCAATGAATCTTCAACGCTTCTGCCCATTCACTTTGAATGGGGTGACGTCACGATTCGCCAAACTGCATTGTGGGAGCTTTGCTGGCGTTGCTCGCTGCAAAAGTTGAGCAATGTTCAACTTTTGAACCACTTGGACAATTGTGTCGGAAATAGGTTCATTTCTCGAAGCTTCAGTTACAGCGACCTCTCCTGGCGAAGTGCAAGGCTGCAGTGGGTTTAACGTATCTTTGCCTTGAAAGATATTCGATGCACACACACACTAAGACTGAATATCATGTTCTATTTGCAATTAACGATTGATAATTGGGTTATTGAGAAGAGACTAGAGAGTGCTGGACATTTTTTTTGGGCGGAGAGGGCCTTTTATCAGTTATTAAAGTATTAAAGTTGAAAAGGAATGATTAAAAGCTCATCCATTCCGGGCTTTGAACCAGCTGCACGGAGGACATCACCGCATACGGGCCGCCAGCTCTATCCACTGGGCTATCTATTCCTTAAACTATTGAATTGTTTTTATATTACTCATTGTCTTTTTGTTCACAACTTCTCCACATTTCGAAGTGTTTCCCGAGCCAGAACGACCTATCTTTCTTCCTGGCTTGCTCTATAATGGTCCAATTCAAATGCAATACCAACAACAACTCAACAGCAACAACGCAAACTACGATAACAACCCACACATTGCGCATTGTTTAGAGCGGTTATAAAGTGTTGAAGCGCTCAAATTCGAAACTGTTTCAACCTGTCACCTGTCAGAATAGAGACGAGGCAGTGCATTGAATCGCGTGATTGGACCGCGAACCAGTCAAGTGATTCATTCAGGAAATGAAGCAGTTGCTGGTTCGGACGTCATATGTCACGTGATTTGAAGCAAGCTTCGAATCACTGCTTCTATGGAATAGGAAGTCCAGGGTTGAAGCTCCGTTCGAAGCTTCAGTGTCAAACTGCCATCACTAATTTTAGCCATTGCAGACAATTTACCTGCACAAACACATATATAACACACTACAGGAAAGGGAAACCCATAAAAGCTTTATGTTTTGGCCCATTTAAAAAAAAAATGCAAAAGCCCTTACAATGGTTTGGCTTTTTTAAAGTGAATCAACTTGCATGTGTCTCGCTTTTCTGAGTTTGTATCTTCACGGTTTATGGCACTCGCTTTGGAGAGAAGCGTTAGCTAAATGTATTTCTTTTGTATTTCTTGAGATTTTTTTGTCTGTGGTCATTGCATTGCTAAGGATAACAATTTCCCACAATCCTTTCAGTTTCTGTAAAGATATTTCCCCCCCCCCCCCCCCCCCCATTTTAAACCACTTTCCTGGGTCTTTCCCCTCATGCCTTCTTCACACAGGAACAATCATTTCTGTACCAATTGATTCAGCTATTTGCCGGAAATCATTTCAGCCGCAGAGAGAACCATAATGTCCTCTCTCTTCACACTTTTCTTCCCTCTTTTTATGTGTCTGCAACGCGAGCCATTAACTACCCGATGATGTGTGTGTGCGGTCTCCAGCTGAAATGGCTGTCATTTTCCTTTGGCACAAAACATCAGAGGTCAGAGTGGAGCTGCACTGCGCTCTGATCAAACATGAGTTTAATGGATGTGCTGTGATTCTTTTTTTCACGATACACAGATTGTTCTGTTGCACGCCATTAAACTGCACAAAGAACATTGGCTACTTCAAAGCTGTTGAGGTGTGTGTGGGTCCACTCTCAGCTTTTCAATATCTTCATTAGATTACCTTGTTAGCCGACAGAATGACCTTCCTTTTATTGCAATGGCCGAAAATACATCCATTAGTGTGATGCTCTGAGCACCTCTTTTTAAATGTTCTTTCTGGTTTGCTCTGGTTTGGGATGTGTCTCTATGTCAACACTTGACCTTGTCTTACTGTTTCCAGAGAAGAGCTTAAACTCTGCCGTCAGAACATTGAAAGTTTGTTGGAGCAGAGGGAAAACTTGGAGGAAAAGATGGAGGAACAGAAAGCAGCAGATAACAGGTGAGTTGAGCAAACTGCTACTAGTCTCTACTATTTCATTTTGCATAACCTCGGTTTATTCTGTGTATTTTATTCTGCAGCGTTGCAGTGTTTCGTACACGAGCCCAGCATAAGCTTTTGTGTCAGAAGCTGCAGAGTGAAGAGGAGCTGGAGGGCCACATCAACACGGAGCTGAAGCAACAAGAGTGAGTCCGAGAAGAAGGTGGTTTGGAAGTATGGTCTTGCTTTGATAAGCATCAGAGGTGTATGGAAATCTCAGACCCCTTCATATATTTAAATGGACCTTGTAAATAACTATTGGCGCGTTTCCACTACAGCGCGGAGCACGGTTTAAGAGGGCTGTGACGTCAGCGGCCCGTCTTTGGTTGCGTTTCCACTTGGCCTAGTACCGGCCGGCGGGTCCTAATTCACAGTTTTTCTGGCCTCATAAAATCGTGGGTCTAGGGCCAGAGACAACGAGGCTGAGTCGGGCTGAGTATGCTAAACTAGAGAGAGCGTCGCTGGCAAGGGGGCTACAACTACAACAAGATGGACATATTTGACCGTGATTTAATTGTAATACACGTTTCAAAATTATGCCGAAGTAACAACATACTGATACCGGTTAGTAAAAACCATGAATTAATGCTTTGACAAGTCTGCAGACAGACGGCAGGCGAAAAACCTTTTAAAATGCGTGTTTTCTAAATGGAGATTGGCTAAGCTAACGCAGTATATGCTCCGACCGTCCACACTCACAACAACGGCCTATACAGACATAAATAAAGCAGCGACTGTATTCACCATGACACAGGCAGTCTGTGGTGTGTACTTGTTTAACTTTTGTCTAGTTTCTGAACATATATGAGGAGCTGTGAGCTAACAGCTAACGGCTGTGTTGTTTTTCTGGGGTTCTCATTGAAGATGACGTCACGGCTCCGCCTACACTGCGTTACTATAGATCAGGGGTCGGCAACCTTTTTGATATGAAGTGCCATTTAAAAAAAAAAAAAATTATCAGCGTGCCAACGATCGAGAATTATCAACGGGGGGGGGGATGTTGAGGATGTTGAGGAGCTTGACGCTCGTGATCTATCAACAGGAGGGCGGGGGGCCTCGCTGCGGGGAAGCAGTGTGTGGACCTGTCAGCGCAACTTACATGATACCGAATTTAACAAACACATTTAAATAATTGGTTTAAACGGCATAATAATAAGGACGATCGTCCGTTCTGTGATTCTCCAGAACACACATGTTATGATATTAGGGTCATGCAGAGTGAGATGAGATCGCTGTCCCTTTAAGAGAGAGAGAGAGAGGGGTGTGGCGTGTGCGTGTGAGTATGTTTCTGGAAGTGAAACGAGGCAGCAGAAAAACAGAGGTCTGTGATGTATTTTGTGAAACAGAAGAACAGCTAAATAAATGCAACGGCCTCTCAAGAAGAGCTCGCCTCTCTCCAGTCATTTAAGCTAAAGTGGGTTATTGAACCTGAAGCTCGTTGCTTCTGCCCTCCTCGACTACGGTCTGGGAGCCGACAGGAAAGTTCAACACACAGATGGCCAGTCCGCCCCTTTGTAGCATATTATTTCAATGAGAGATGAGCAGATCGCCACTGGGCTTTCAACTAAAGACACACACAGCCACGCAAAAACTGCGACATTTGTAAAGCTCCTTATGGGTACTGCAATTTGTGAAGTGCTTTCTTCCGTGGTGAAACGATCAGCACTGCACCACGGAGGAAAGCGGCAGAAAGTCACCTGGAGTTAAACAGAGCGGGGCTGCGCTGCGTGCATGGCTTCCTTCTGCAGGTAACGGGGAGACGCGCTCTGGCGGCGGTCTCGTTCAGGATCCGAAAATACAATTTAAATATTTTGCACACTTATTCGACTTATTCCTAGTGTGCCACTGGCTACGGTGCCGCGTGCCAATGCTGGCACGCGTGCCAGGGGTTGCCGACCCCTGCTATAGATACTACCCCAGTTCCTAAACTGTAATGGAAATGCGCCATAAAGTGAGCCAGTCCTAACGAGGCCTAGCCATACCGAGCGAGGCCGAGCGAGGCCGTGTAGTGGAAACGCGCCATAAGAAAGCAAAAACAGAAAAAGAATTCCACCATGCAGAAGATCCCCATTGTTTAAGCCACCGCCCCCTTACAAGATAGAGAATACATCGGGAACCCCTCATGTACGTTCCTTGATATACATTGATATTGTCCATTCTTTACACTTTTATAGTCAGAGAAAGATTTTAAACATGTATTATAAACACATGCACCATCTCTACACCGAATACTCACAAAACAGTGCAACTCACATCAATTTAAGTAGCTGCAAGTAACAGCAGCTGTTCAAAAGTATCAAAGGCAAATCAAGAGAAAAGGGCTAATTTTAAGTGCATTTCAGACTATACACGTACAGATATAAAAATAACTGTGAACTTAAGTTTTTCCCCTTTTGGTTCAAATGCTAAATAAATGATTCTGATATACCAAATCAAATTGCCTTTGTGCTTCCAAACCCTGCATACGTCTAGTTCTCTTCTTTCAGCCACATTAAAGGTCCCCTATTATACTGTTTTTCATTAATATATTATAGTTCTCAGTTATGTACAAAACATGTCTCTGAAGTGATTGGCTCCAAATACCAAACAGATTGCAGCATCCCATAATCCCCTCTGTTTCAGCCCTGTTTCAAAAGTGCTGATTCTCTGTCTGTTACTTTAGATGAAAATAAGGAGCCCCTCCCCACGCCCCTCTGAGAGATATTTGGTAAAAAGAACACAATGGTGCTCTAGGAGGAGATTCAGGTGATAAGGTGGGGGGGGGGGGGTTACCTTGGTTGGTGATTGGCTAATAGTTACACAAGCCAAAACATCGATATGACATCATAAAGTCTGATCAGCTCATTTTCAGACAGGTTTTTATATAAATGGATCAGGACAAAAAGAGAGAGAATCTTTGTCCCTGAAACTTTCACAATCTCTTTACACATGGGGGAAACATGTTGATGTATAACAGACATGAAAAAGTGGATTTTTCATAATAGGTGACCTTTAAGTGACGGTACTGGAGAAATAGATTTAGGAAACGTTCACTATCAGTCTGCATTTCCAACTTTCTTCCTCTCCTTTTTTTTTTCTACATCTTTGCTCCTCAGACTGGAGCTGAGCGAGGTGGAGGTGGAGCTTGGCAGGTTCTCCTCTCTCCGGCAGGAGGTGCAGGAGGAGGAGCGGGCCTTCGGGGTCCTGAAGAAGCAGAAGGCGACGAAACGGCTGCAGCAGGAGAGGAAAGCCAGCCAGCACCAGCAGCTCAGGATGCAGCATCTCAGGGAGTACGGAAAACAAACATATTTTCCATTCACGCTCTATCGTTTTTGTGTGTCGAGCAAACAAAAATTTAATCTCAGTATATAAACAAGTGAGTAGAAGATGTCACACAGTGAAATTACATTTGTATGCCTATGGGAGACAATTAAAAATGAATTATTTGTGCACTTCAAAGTATCACTCCCTTATGAAAGTATCGTCATATTGCACCATGCCATTCTTTATTGATTCTTTTTATGAGAAGCCTCTATGGGGAATCAGCTATATCGACCTTGAACAGCCATATTGAGACTGATATGTTATGCATGTCTCTGTGATTGTGTTCTGATAGTAAACAGGCATCCATGCTGAAGAAAGAGGAAGCTGAATGTCAGAGGAAAATCGAAGAGGGCCGGGCCAGCCGCAAGGTAGCTGCCAAGTACTTGAAAGAGACCATTAAAAGGTAATCAGCCTTTAAGCCAATAAACTGGGCTCAGGGTGGAACAAAAGCATATCTCTGAGGACTCATTGGAGAGTTGACACATCCTATTGATCATTCACTCATACTGGCACAACATATTACAAGCAGCAGGCCTGATAGGATGCTTCAAGAGCTCAAATTGACAGAGAAAAGTTCTAGCTGAAAGATCTGAGGAGGGAAAAGTGATTCAAGTTAGTGAAGGAATGTCCCTCCAAAAAATACTGTACTAGAAGTCGTTTTTTTTCTGGTTAGTACGAGTCCATGTGACAGTTGGCTTATATGATTTTGACGGGTCATCTCTAACGAAAGTGTCCTTGTTGCCGACTTTCATACAGTTTATTCAATAAGGGCAAGTTACGGCGGCTCTATGTATAAAGCACATTTCACAACAAAGTCACTCATATTAAAACATTTAAATAAAGAAGAGGCAGGAAGAAATTATGAATATGCAATATATTGGTTTAAGATTAAGATTAAGAAAAAACATATATCATTTATTTGGTTAGTGAGTTATTTATACATGCACTCAATGTAACACACAAACAATAACATGATTCATAGGTGCCATTGAAGACCTCAAGCCTCGCATTATAACACTTTATCTTAATTGTCAAAATGACCTCTTAAAAGACCAAAACAAACAATTTTATTCTATTCAAAAAGTATGGTTTATGTTCAATTCTGAGTTATCATAGTAACATTTGTATCTGTACATGTAAATAGATTTGTTCTGTTTGGTTTTATATTCAATCAATGAAAATACTTTCGGTTGGGGAAAGTCGGAACATATTAAAATCAAATAAGTCATTATTTATATAAACAGAAGTACAAATATGCAATAAAAGTCCTTGTAGCCACATATATTAGGCACAGGAACAAGGCAGGACGTCCTGCACAGCGCAGGGACGCTAAACTCTAAATGCCTACATGTAAATTGAACCTGAGCTCCCTAATCAGTATCAGTGTATGGTACTTTCATATAAATACTCTAAATACAACTATACACAATAAAGCATTCCTCAGAGTCATGGTAATTAACCTTAAAGGTGGGGTAGGTAAGTTTGAGAAACCAGCTCGAGTGCGCTAGAATTTGAAAATACACAACCGGAGAAAATCTGCCACTTCCTTACAGAGCCCCTCCTCCAACACACACGAACGCGCACATGACCAATGAGGGCACGAGATAAGTTTGTGCACAGATGGAAGGCTGACAGGCAGGTAGGCCATCCAGTTATTTTAGCCGGGCCGGCTCAGATGATTGGTCGTGCTTTTTACAGTACTACGGCTTCCACAGATGACATTTTTTTATGGATTTGTTGTCAAAGCACTTCAGATATTAATTGCTATCGGGATGTTAAGAGCATTCCATGGAATATAACAAAAAGTGTATCTCAAGCCGGTTTCTCAAACTTACCTACCCCACCTTTAAAGCTCAGCTCCTGGAAGTTACAAACCCAATTAGTGTCAGCTGCTTTGTTTGTCTCTCTACTAAACTATTTCTGATCTTTAACATGCTCTGTTATTGTCCCCGTTTCATTCAGGATGCAGCAGCAAGAGGCTGAGAAGGAGCAGCAGAACCGGGAGCTACTGGAAAAGCGGATGCAGGCTGTCAAATCACTGAAATCCAACATCGCAGCCACACAAGTGAGCGCCAGCACCCTCTCATATAAATACTGTAGCATTATGTTTGTTGTTTCAGCAGTCATAAGGAACATGAGCTGTAGAGCTACAGTATGTCATATTAACATTTCCTATAGCTTCCATATCTATAAAGCTATATAAGATCATTCCAATGAGCATAAGCAAACAACCTTTCAAACAGAAACCGTAAATAGTAATGCGTTATTCACAAATAAAGCAGTAAAGAGTGATAAATAAGTTATTACTGTATATATGCGTGTATAATGTATGGTTAGGCTTTAAGCTTACACATTTGATAGAGTCCAACAGGTGCCAGTGGGTTGTTTAAGCAACTTTCTGAGCATCAATAATTCATTTGTGCAGATGAATTACTTAATTTCCGTGCACTTATTAACTAAATATAGTGCTTATGTAAATGATTAGCATGTTCATATATGTGAATGGGATGTCTTCCTTAGAGGAACATCTGAAGTATTTCTGCATACCTCGTAGAAAATAAAGGCAAAAGTGCATCTCAAATGAAGAGTTCATTTAGATAATGCATTACAATTAGCCCACACAGATGTGTATGTGCAATAGCTGCAAAAGCTGGACAGTTTTCCTGAAACCACAGGCAGTGTAACGCCACAACTGTGAGTGTTGATTTATGTTATCAAAATAATAAGAAGGAACTAATCCAGAATAAGGCTGCTCGATTTGGAAAAAACAAGTAATTGCAATTATTTTTAACATTATAATTGCGATATGATTCACAATATTGGAGTGATTGATCATTTATCATCATTGTTCTCATTATCATTAAAAGATTTCTGTAAAATGGTGTGTTTTTTTTAGGAGGATCTGTACCGAGCAAATATATTTTATTGAGTCAGTTGAATATGAATAGTAGGCAAGGAGCATCTATGCACCGACACGATACTTCTATCAGAATAATATTTACACATATTTGGCCTGTATTAAAGGGGCCCTATTGTGCTCATTTCCAGGTTCATATTTGTATGTTCTGCCTCTACTGTGACATGTTCACATGCTTTAATAATTAAAAAAAAAGGTCTTTATTTCTCTCATACTGCCTGTGCTGCAGCGCCTCTTTTCACCCTCTGCTGAAACCAGAACCCAGTCTGCTCTGATTGGTTAGCTGGCCGGCTCTGCTGTAATTGGTCAACCACTTAGAGATGTCCCGCCCCTTAGCCTATCACGTACAATGTGTTGGAGTGATAGCCAATAGAAGCGCAGGTGTTACGTAGTGATGTCACTATGTTACTGCAGTGGAGGCGTCTCAGGCAGGGGGGGGAGTGTGTGGGACAGAAACTCCCTCTGGACGGAACTTTGGGATTTGAGCTTTTGCAGACCATTTACGTGCACTAAAACCTTTTAAAGACACAACAGGAAAGGCAAAACCCCCAAAACCATAATAGGGCCCCTTTAAATATTGCTCTTCCTACGATATGAACATTGTACCAGCCCACATTTTATTTTTTATTCAATTTTGAATATTTGTTCAGCCCTAATGCAGAGTTTGTAGGCAGTTACAGTAGCTCTGCTCAAAGTGTGAATGTTCCCCTTTAACCAAGCAGAGACACCACGACAACTTGGATCTTCCATTCCTGCTGTTATAGTAACAAAACATTCATTTATGTGCACAAAATACCAATATGTGTGCACTTATTAAGTCCATTTGAGGTTATGAACTTCTCACTTGTGTGCCTCTGTAGTTTTTACAGTTAATAAAAACATATTTCTTGTGAGATGAGGCAAATGCACAAACATTTGGACATAAAATGACTTGAAGTTGCAATGAATGCCTTTGATTACCTGAGTCTTACTTCAAACAAGGCTGTAACTTTTGGTCAACTACATTAGAAAGCATAAAGAAATCATCATATATTTTGAGACATTAGGACTTTTATTTGTTCCATCCATCCTGACCAAATTACCCTTTAACATACTGAGGGAGAGATTTGAGGCAGAAGCCACATTATCATTGTATTCTCATTACACCCCCTCATTATAAATACAGTGATTCAGCTCTGGACTACGAGCACTTATATGCATCACAATCTTGCAATGCTATCATCATCAGGCTTTATTTGCCATTTCAACAGGAACATTTGATCATTTTGGAGCATCTTTCCTAGTTCAAATACATGACGTTGTCAACTAAAGCTTCATTAATCTGATGTTTTTTCTTTAGGAGAGCTTACGGGTCAATCAAAGCAGAGCCAGAGCCAAGGCTCAGAAGGAAGAGCAGCGACAGAGACAGCTGAGAGAGTCCCTGCAGGCCGAGGGATTCAACAGTATCCAGCATATGTACCAGCAGAAACAGCTAGAGGAGATACAACGAAAACAAGAGTATGTCCTCTCCTCTCCCTTTCCTCTCCCACACGCATGTCCTCCACTCCCACGCCGTGCAGCAGCGTGTGGGTGTTTTCTCTCGCTCATGGCCGCGTTTCAGTATCATGCAGTGTTGTTGATTTGCAGAGGTGGAGAAAGTACTCAGAGGCTTTACTTAATTAAAGTAGATAGTCTTATAATACTATATTACAGTATCTATTCTCATTACGCAGAATGGCTTTTTTTAAAACCGTTATACAATATTATTATTGTGTTTTTATCACTATCATTTAAATGTTGCGATTTGTCAATGTGGACCAGATTTTATTATTTTATTTTTATTATTTATATTTTATTTTGTATAATATTAGTATTATTGCTATTATTATTTTTATTATTATGTATTTATTTAATTATTATTATGTCTTAATCCAACAAGGAGGATGCATAAAAATACATTAATCTCAAAAGTTATTGCCCAAAAATGTTTTAATTACATTTTTTTATTTTTTTAATGGCTTTAAAAAAATCTAATTGGTATCAAAATATTTGAATTTGAAAGTTTTTCATTATTTGTCTACTAACGCTAAGCTGTGGATTCACAATATATTTGAGCTTATTCAGTCAAATACATCTTCATCATTGTCATTATGTCTTATTATATTTTTTGATAGCTAGTTACTATGAGGTATAAATAAGTGTAATGGAGTACAATTTTTTCCTCGTAAATGTGTTGTTATAGAAGTGATAAACAGCATTAAATTGAAATATCGATTAAAGTACTAGTATTTCCAATAGTTCTTAAGTACAATACTTGAGTAAATGTACTTGTTGACATCGTACCACGGTTGCTTTGCCTTCTTTCTCAGGCAATTAGAAGAGAGGCAGAAGTCAAAGAGAGTGGAGATTGTGGAGAAGATCCTTCAGGAGGGGCCGCTGGTGGAGAGCAGAAAGAGAAACCCGCCACCGACGCCTAAACTGTCATTAACTGACAAGTACCCGTCTCTGAGGAGGGCCAGAGAGAAGCTGCTGCACTACCTGGACCGCAGACCCCCAACGGCCACAGAGGAGAGAGCTGCCATCGTGAGTGGCTCATAGGGTGGTGCAGGAATGAGTCAGAATGTTAACACTTCCGGGTCCTTCATTTTATAGTATATGTTTTTTTGACCTGTTTTAGGTTTGATGCTTGAAAAAAAGTCGGTGGTTAACATACGCTTAAGAGATTTTCACGTCTTGTCACGCGAAATCACCCAACTCGTGAATATCCGAACCTTCTTTATGTCATAAAAACGGCGTTTGTTAACATAATGAGACGGCTAAATGTAAGCACGTCGAACATTAGGCGCCTTTAGCTCAGGGGTGATGATCGCAGCCATGTTTCCGTAATGTTCTGCATTTATAGCCTAACGTTAGCTATTTTACGACTTGGCAATTGCATGTATCATATGACTGGTGGATATCATCCTGCTAAACAAAACATGTAGGTATCATAAATGTGTGATCACATTTTTCTGCAATTTCTACGAAATCTCATTGCTTTTTGTCGAGGGACCTCCTGCGATGCTAACTTCAGGTTCACCCTAGAAAAAATGTCATTACTGCACCACTGTGATCCACTGTATTTTCATCAATCATGACCCGATGTGTGTTTTTGCAGCAGTTGAGAGACTTTAGCAGCTCGTCATCAGCCTCCTCTGATGTTGACGACCAAGAGGAACCCACCAACCAGGAAGAGGACCACCCGAGCCTTTCTGACAGCCTGGCTGAGCCTGAGTTCTCTGGCCTTTGGGACCAGAACTACAAGGTGCGCTAAAGAAAACACCACAGCTGAACAAAAGCAAATCCCTGCAAGCGGCTATATATAAACACTCATACATCATGTCCCATTCACAGCAGACACATCCTTTTTCTATGGATGTGCTTATTGCATTTATTTCCACAGCTGAATTCCCTACCTGCACACTGACGCATGGATCATGAATAATTATATTTAAAGGTACTTCACTGATTTGAAATAGTTGTGTAGCATGTTGGAAGTTAACAGAAAAGAGGATTCTACTGACTTCTTCACTGATTTAATAAGGGACAAGTTCAATTCCCCGTAGCCATACTGTACCTCTGGCTTGTTAGTGTGTTCACACACAGCGGTCAGTGTTTAAGGATGGGAAACCAGTGAGGGATTGTTCTCATTCCTGCACAACTAACTCCTACGTGTTAGTCAGGGTTGGGGTCTTTGGGGTTTTTCAAGTTTTAAACGTCTTTTTTGTGAGTCCATAACCTAAAGATAATTACTTATATATGATTTTTTGAAGAGGAAAAACTGAAAATCTTAATATTTGACAGGCTGAAATATTACTTAAACAATAACTCATTATCAAAAAGGTTTGGGATTATTTGACTGCTGATCAATTGATCTCCTAATCTTTGCAGCTCTACATTGCAAGTGAAAAGAGACACATAGGTAACACAGTCTGTTTTCATTGTCCCAGGACAACAATCAGGCCACAGCGCTGAGGAAAATAGGACAGGTTGGAACAATCCAGGTTTTTTAGAGCCTGTAATGATATATAAGAATTTAGGAAATAAAAGAGCGTTTCTGTTTGCCAACAACTAGATTCATTAACGGGACAATATACATTAGTGATGTGAGTCATTAGTGCTGTAACAATTAAAGGACAATTAATTGCTGCATCAATATAGAATAAAGAAAATATATATGTATGAAGACATTTCCTCTGAATTGTCTAAAATATTTTAAATTGTATTTTTTGTAATTTTATTGACTTAAAGGAGAGGTGTCATGCTTTTCCGGTTATTACCCGTCCCCTTGTGTGTTATGAAGGTTTTTATGCATGTAAACGGTGTGCAGAGTCAAAACCCTCAAAGTACACCCTGTAGGGAGTAAAACTCTAACACAGAAAATACCTCCCCAAAACGCCTCGTTGGAGATACGTCACTGCCCATTTGAGTCTTCCATTTTGTTCCGGGTACGGCATGATGTCAAGCGGTACCCGGAACGAAATGGACCAATCCCGAAGAGCCGTTACGTTACGTCCGCGGAGCCGTTACGTTAAGCCCCCGCTGATTGGTCCAAATTGACCAATCCACGGACTTCCTCACACACACATCTGTGTGCAGGGAGCAGGCAGCTCTGCTGATTTCTCCTCCCTGGCTGCAGGCTGATAACAGACAGTTGGGATCGCGGCGAAATTCTCTCTGCAGACCCATTCTCACAGCGTTTATCAACCTTTTTCTTACTCAATATCAAGCCACACTTATTGTTTTTACTTCGGATGTGACTTTGTGTGTGCTCAGGATGAGTTTGGCTGTGTTTCGCTATGTATCCTAAACAAGGAAACAACACCTCCACGGAGCTCAGCGCGATTCACAACGTCCCGACCAATCAGAGCACACTGTGCTCACAGGGAGGGTGGGGGCTGGAGCTATTGGAGCTACAACGAGCCGTTAAAGGCAGAGAGTGAAATTCAGTGAATACACGTAGTTTACAGAGATGCTGTATGAGAAACCAATGTGAGTTTGGAAAAATGCACAATATAAATCTATTCTAGTATACCTCAACAATGGAATTATGATCAGTGGAAATGGCCATGACACCTCTCCTTTAATATAATGATATTAATTGTTATTTATAATCAAATTATACTATATTATATATATATATTATACAACACTCACATGCCATGCACACTAGGAGTTGTCTTCCATACCAGAAAATGGAACTGTGACATGTTCGATGTTTGACCTCAGCTCTGCCCCTGCTCTTTATCTATCCAGCTAACTGTGGCTAATGCTACTTTAACAATTCCAGAAATAGTTCCTGGCTCAACTCATTAATCCATTTAAACACATCATTAATAGGATAACAATGATACAACCATGATTCTTGCCATTATTAAAAACAATGGATATTATTATTATTACTTTTCACCTTTTCCGGCATATGTCAGTTGACCTTCAGCTTAATTTCCTACAAATATTTTGGAATTTAAAGGTTTTACAGTAATTGATATAAAATGAATGCTAATGCTGCAGTGCATTGACAGCACCAAATTGATTTATTGGGCTTCTCCGTGGTATTTCTTTGTAGCAGAAACCTGCTGACACCGAGGTGAGTTCTCTCCCATCCTGTCCCCCCCCCCACACACACATAACTACACACTTGAATGTGGGGCGACAGGCATCACTTCTCATCGCGCTGGTGCGTTTGAGGCCTCGGAGCGAACGCGGTGCTACAGCTCCGAGCTCTGAGCTCTGAGCCGGAGACAAGTGAAGTGGAAGCGATCTCTCCTCCTCACATGCAGATCAGACTCATTCCCTGTTAAAGGCTACTTCTCAACACAGTAATGGCCAGTGCAGTAGACCAGCACAGCAACGTAACACAGTTAATAAGATAATTCATGAGGCGGAGAACGATGATGTAATGTCATGTCACTTGTGCAAAGTGCTTTACATTACATCCTCAGAATAAGCCTTGCTATGTGAAACATGGCTTTTAAAACATCATTTCACTCGTTTGTTTCTTCTTAATAGCTTTATTGTTGGAATACTCATGTTATTCCAGTATTTAACACAACTTTTTTTGTGTAAAATGGTTTGCTAGAACCTTGCTGACAAAGTTATCAAGTAACAATAATGGCTAAATGCAGATTAGAAATCCTTTCCTGATTTAAAATCATAACCTTTTTCAAATATTTAATTAAATGTAATAACATTATGAATTAAGATGGATATTATTTTACTGTTGAAAATCAAATTCCTCTGGCAAAAAAAAATTAAAAACAAGTATTTCTTCTTGACCATTGACATTTGGAAGAGATAACATACAAAACTACATAAATTGTTAGCCCCATTGATTATTATTATTTATTATTTCCACTGATAAATTCCAACACCATAAAAACGTATCCAGAGCGTTCTGCTAACACCTTTTCTGTAACATTCCTGTAATGCAGTTTCCTGTTTCCTATCAACAACGTGTATGACTGTACTGATCTGTATTAAGCCAGTGTCACCAATCTCAAGATGGAGCAGATTACTGATATCATAGCAACAATAAGCGTCAAATTGACTTTAGCTAAAGATAAAGCTACATGTCTATATTACAGCAGACTAAGCCGATAGGAAGTACATTGTAATAATCTCATTAAAGGATTTCATAATACTATGTTAATGAGGTTTCATCTTGTTTGCACGTGACTAATATACAGTTAGTATTCAGGCATAGTATAGCCCCTAGCGCTCAAAGGAGAACATTTTCTTAAAGCAGGAGAAATCTAAGGAACTGAAGCAAATATGACAAGTATGAGATAATAATCTTACGATGTGAGAAATTGAGTTAAAAATGTTTATTATTTAAAATGACTTCACTAGCTGTTGCTTCCCTGTGTGGTTACAGAAGCTCCTGAATGAAAAAACAACATTGGAACAGACAGAAGTAAAGCAGGAAGAACCGGCAATGGCCATTGGAAAGCTCACTCTCCCTCCTAAAAAGGTTCATGGGAAAGAATTGAAAGGCCCTCCGTTCATCAGTAAACCAGAAGTCATCCTCTTCAAGGTACCACACTACTGCTTGAAAGCATGTCCTGAAATGTCTTGTGTGTCATGTACAGGTTTCCCATTTAAAACTATGTTAGTCTAACTAAATGTTCTGTTTTAGGACTTCGAATTGGGTCAAACGTATAAGAAGAAAATCATCCTGACTAACATCAGCTACATCACCAACCACTGCAAGCTGCTTGGGGTCTCGACCCACCTGAAGGATTTCATCACTATCAAGTAAGATGTTACACTGTCACTAAACACACACCAGTGACTACAGTGCAGTGCACATGGGGCAAAAAGTGTTCCTGAAATCATGACAAACACAATCACTAGGACAGTATGCAAATAAATGCTTCAGATGACATCACTTGAGGCGATAGATCAGATTTGACGCCTGTACAGTATGCATTAGAACTTCCCAAGTACCCCTTAAACAAGCGATACAAAGCAACAGAGACTTTCAACCAATTACATACAAATGTTTGATTGTGTTATGCTGTTTCTCCCTGCTTCTAGTCTTTGAGTTAAACTTGGCGACACATAACTTGGACCTAACTCTCTACATCGGGTCTAAAAAAATAATTGTTGACCTGTCTTTTGAAAGTTAATCTACAATTTTACAATGCACTCATAATACCATCTTTTCACCCCCTGTCTGAAACGGGAGTCCAGTCTGCTCTGATTGGTCAACTGCTTACTCTTTTGAAAATGTCCCGCCCTTTAGCCCATCACGTACAATATATTGGAGCGCTAGCCAATAGAAGCGCGAGTGTAACATAGTGATGTTACTATGTTACTGAAGTAAACAAATGAATCAAATGGAGGCGTTTCAGGCAGGGGGTCGTAGTGTGTGGGAGAGAAACTCCCTCTGGAGGGAACACAGGGATTTTAGCATTTGCAGACCATTTACATGCACAAAAATAGATATAGAACACACGAGGAAAAGGGAAAACAGCTAAAAGCATAATAGGCCCTCTTTAATGTAGCTATTTTAAAATCAGATTGATTGATTCTATTTATGGATTATCAGGCAAAAGAAAAGCAAAGGATGCTTGTAAAGAGTGTTTCAAATTCAGGTTTTGTGACAATAGCTACAGGTGTTGGGTTTAAATGTTAAAGCTCCTACATACTGCATTTGTGACAGCTTTAACTACCACATGGCAACATCTGTTGATGCATCACCACTCAATACCACCACTTGTTGTCATGTAAAGAGACAATGGAGTGGACGTGAAAGCAGAGCCTGTCCTCCCACATATGGACGCCAGCTTGGCTCCACACGATCTCAGCTCCTCTTATGAGTCAGTCTACGTCTCTGCCTTCTCCTGCTTCTTTCTCTCCGCCTGCCAGCAGCCCACAGGCAGGGGAAGAGATGCATTGTTCTGCAGGTCACTCGCTGTGTATCACTTTCCCATCAGCTCCCCCGTGACTTGATGTGGTTTCTTCTTCTCTCTTCTTTCTGCCTGACTGAGCGAAGCGTCTCCCAGGCTACAGCGGGGTCAGCCGGAAACTACTGATGCCGTTCTTCTCCAGCATTAGCACTGGACCACTTGTCTGAACACATCACTTTATAGTTCTCTGATCTTAACTCACATGTAGCAAACATGCACTTTCACATACTGTGTATAGTGTTCATTAAATCCACTCATCTTGCCATCTCTCTTTCATGTTACTGACAGTACACTCAATCTCTCTTCAGATAGTTCAGGATAAAACACAATTTGAAAGTAAAAATAGTTCGAAAATGAATAAGATTAATACACATAATTACAACAGGAGCTCCCTGCTGTTATTTTTTTACATTAGATTCATCAGTTCTGAAAGATACAAACAAAATGTCTTCATGATAAAGCTTTATTAGTTTCCCCACCAGATGGTTTGTTACACAAAGACATTGGAGAAGCCGTCAATGGAAACAGTTTGGAAAAGGGGAGGAACTTTCAAGAAATACTTTTCATGTGATAGGATCAACAATCTAATGAAGTATACAAATATCTATCAACTCTAGAAATCCCTCAGTGCCATTCTTTGCTTTTCTTTCTAAATTCGGAAATAACTGGTGCTGATGCAGCCTCTCTAACCTCTTTAGGAGCCGCCATTGATGTTTTGAATTCAAACACGCTGTAGTTGTTCATTTGTCCAGGCTTCTGCAATCGGGACATAAACGTATTCCTGGAAGCCTGACAAGAAGGGTTATTGTGTAATATCGCAATAATGTGCCATACTCAGCCACTTCATTAATATTCCCTGAAATGAATGAAAGGAGTAAAATAAGTCAAATAAATGAAATTCAAAAGCTATAAAGCCCTAATTCAGATCAATACAATCAGGGGTTTTGCTTATACAGCCTTACATGGTATGGTTTGACCAGTTATAGCCCTCGTCAACCAGCATGCTGTTAGATGGCCATCTCCCCTGACATTTTAGTCACTCTTGGCTCATATGACTTGTTACAGCAGATCCTGAACTCCCCAGATGGCAGGCAGTTTTTGTACAGATTTACAAGGTGTTGGGAAAAATGATGTTACCAATCAAAACACCAAATACCAAGACAAAGAAAGTGTTCTTTGTTTAAAGTATGACATGTTGAGCAAAAATTGTGCAATTTTTCTTCCCCACCCACAAATGTTGCTCAGCAGCAGTAAAGTGAACTAAAGTTGTATTGAGAATGTTTGTTTTAATATAGCTTTCAGCAGGTGTTGATTGTACTCCCATTGTATTGACTCCAATGGATAATATATTTTTGTCTTAGTAATTTGAGTTTTTTGATGCTTAACACATGTCTGACATTGTTTCTGTGTTTGCATATAAGTAGTAGTCTAGAATGTTTTACTTAATTAAACAAAATCTAATAGAAATTGCTTTATCATAACTTGTACTGTATTGATGTTTTAGCTTCTATTTGGATTCATTATGATAACTTAATAAAGATGAATCCTTAACATTGAAAAACCTTTTAAAACTGTCAACAAAGCTTTCATTTAGGGCATTCTGTGTATGTTCATTGAATTCAATAATTGGATCTGCTGTATCCCCTCACTACTGGGTCAAAACAACAGCCCAGGACTGCCAGAATTGGTGTTCGATAAACTAGTACTAATATTGGTACTCGACAAAATATAACAATTTGAGGATAATGGAGCATTAACTAGTAAGAAAACCTTTTAAACTGTGTTTCAGTAATCAAAACAAGCAACTAAATCTGATCTGTAAGGTATCCTAATAGTCATTTTGATGCCAATAGAAACTGCTGTAAATTAATTGGGTAGAGTAATATAGAAAATTGCAGTCGCTATTGATAATAGATAGGCTATTTAAAAATCATGATTTGTTTAGGATGTGTCAAGCTATTCTCTTACCAAAATGTGATTTTTTTGGAACCAAGGTGATATCATTTACTATCCACAACTTTTGCTAATGAAGAACAAATAAACAGAGTGAGTCCAAACATTAATTATTTAGTACGAACATCAGTTAAAACCGCAGTGGAGCTTTATTTCCTATACTGTATCATGCCAGTGTATCTTTCTTATTTAAAACAATCACCTAGGACTACTACGTTTTTCTCGTAGGGCAAATACCATTACCATGCAGGAACAAGCATTATATTCTAGCAAAGTATTCTAAGTCAAGAGATCAAGCTCTCACACACTACAGAAACAGTATTCAGGTAATCTTCACAAGCATTGTCAGAGACTTGATGCTTCACTGTAGGTCGCCTTCAGACATGGTTAAGAGCGTGGGGGGGTGTGAGCTCTGATGAACTGAATAATGATCTGAGAATGCTTATTGATTTACTGTAGGAGAAAACAATGGGCCAGAATTTAAAATAGAACACCCGGCATAGTTAGTAATACTGTACAGCCACGGTCCCAGCTTCATCACTTCAGTAGACTGCAATAAATATGGTGTACAGTATGGCCTCGTTTGCAGTGCGTTATATAGGGCTGGAACGGGCTTTCTGAAACACTGCCTCACTTCGCATGTAATCCCAAGTGAACTGCTCTATTTTATCTTCCCGTGTATTTTCATACCAGCTGTCCTGAAGCCATGAAAGATGAATGGTACCAATAAGGATGGAAATTAGCATTAAAGAAAAATCAATTCTGATGAAAGTTCAATGTGACATTTATAATTAGCAACAGATTCACCATGCTAGATGGAATGCTTTCATACACTTCCAGGTCACAGTGGTGAGCTGGATGGCAGATCCAGGCAGCCAAAATGACAGCTGGACCAACAACTTCAAACCAAACACACTTATCCGTTGCCCACTGGTAGTAATTCCTACTTGTCTCAACCACGTTTGAATTAAGCTGTCCAACTATGAAGCATAAATCCCCTTTTGTCTTTCTCAAATTGAGTTTGAAGATGTCCACTGCTGTTCAAACCATGTTTCAGCAAAAGCCACCCAATCAGGTTCCCCTGCAGTTTCAATGTCTTTAAATGTTCTGTTCTTCTACAGACACATTTTAAACATTGTTTAGTTCTGGAAAAGTTTGTTTGTATCGTAGGCAGAGTAGACGGCAGCCTGCTACACAACACAAGATCAACAGAATTCAAGCAACTTCCCACAACCCATTAGCTTTCCTGCTCTATTATACTACTAATCATATTAGCAAACATGACCACACGTGTTGTCTTACTTTTAGCTGAAGTGACAGAACAATCATCCACCAGGGAAAAGTGCCCTGTTAACGTCAGGCTAGAGAGCTAATTGGCTAGTGCTAGCTGCAGCCCATTAAAAAGCATGTAAATGTCACTTTGGTCATGTTAGATGCTAATGTGGTCCTTACAACTCGCTGTTTTCCCATGACTTGTAGCAACAGCGAAGGTTAGCTTACTTTGTCTCTTGTTCATACAGTGTAAACAATTGGTGGACCAATCAGTTTACAGCTCTGTCATTTGGGACAAAACTTCCTGCAAATATTAGAGGACGTTAATAAAGGAGGCACTGTAATCACAGAAAGATTCACAAAACTTGAATGCCTTATTCTTGGTGATATCATTGAATAAGTACGCAAATCAAAAAATGCACATGGATATATTTGCACATGTGTTATTAAAAAGAAGAATTTCACTTTGACTTTATTCACCCCATGCTGTCCTGTATTCATTTTGTATCTGTTTATCCTTGATTGATGTGTATAACAGAAGGAAAAGTGCAGAATTAATTCTCCTTCCTCACAGAGTTTGGCAAGTTGACATAAGAAAACTAATATGAACCCTTTCCAGCTTTGTTTTGAACTACCTGCAGGCCAACATCTCATCATTTATACATGAAAACACCCACTGCATGCATAAAAATGTCCAAATGAATACGATGAAACCTTTATGAAGACCGTAAGACAAAGGCTTGGTATCTTTTATGTATTCTAACTGTAGCTTCTTCCTCATTATGGTAGTAGTCGAATTTATTTCTCGAGCTTATCTATTTATTTTTCAGAATCCTCCGTGCTCCTCTGGCTGGCTGCCTGCTATATTCATATCGATCGGCTCTCCTCTTGTGTCTTTCGAAGGGCGGCAAGTTGTGAAGCTCCTCAGGCAGCTTGGTGTTGGTGTAAACATGTGCTGTGAGATACACATGTTGCATTGAAATAGCTCACAGTGCTCATGGTTCTTTTCTCGACTGGAAAGAAACGTTTGGTAACAGTGCGATAATAATATAAAATGATACCAAACAATAGCTTTTGTTCTCCTCTTCGTCTTGTGCGTGGTTCAAACTGAGCCTCAGGTTGACTGTTGACCTCGGCTCTTTAGCTTATCCGCTCTCAGGAGATGTTGCATTTTATCTGAAGCTGCTGCTAATGCTGGTATTCTGTTGAATGTATTTCCTCCTGAAGTTGCACATACCTTCTGTGGTGTTCTTGTTTTGTCTTGTTTTCTGTTATTTATGTGTGAAGCCACGCAAAGACGAAACAAACACTGCTTTTAAATTGTGTTACTCATATCTTTACATTATTCAACTCTGAAGAAAATATCTTAACTTAATTATCCATATTTATATGTCTTAACTTAATTATCCATATTTATTTGCTGTTGTGGGGTTTTTTTTGTTGAAAAATGCAGATTTTCTTATTCAGAACTTAATGTGATTTGACTTTCAGCTTTGATCCCCCTGGTTCTTTATCCACTGGGATGTCCTGTGACATGCAGGCTGTTTTTCAGCCTATGGTTAGTAACACCCCCTCCTTTAAAACTTCTACACATTTGATTGTTAAAAGACTGAAGACTTGTTGTGTTTTTAATCCTTTTTATATCTGTGAAATGTACCAAAAACAAAAAAATATATTAGTTATTAAATTGGAATAAACCATTGTTCAGACTTTCATAATACTGTATATAAATAATAAATGTATTTCCTTGCAGTGCAATCAATGGCACATTCTGTGTTGTGTTGACTGTTCTTTACCACATTGGATTTAAAACTGAGTAATTAAGACATTAAGGTGCTTGCGTTTTATTTGAGTGTTTTTACATCCACATCAGATGAACAGTGTAAGAGTTACGGAGTCTTGGCTTAATCCTGTGGCTCTGTATATCATAATCTTAGACATGTATGAGCTGTGCAAGGCAACAAGAGGTACAGAGGACTGAGATATTCCCTGCATCACCTTTATATTATTTCAAATAAGATCTAAAATGATAGTTAAATCCAAAAACAGTACATACATGTAACCTTGTGAAGAATGGAAATATTGGAAGTTGTTAAACTTGTATACAGCTTTCTTCTGTTTCTCATCAGCAAAGTCAAAATAACTATCTGCTCGCTGTCATTCGACTTTAAGAATCAAATGTCTGTGGATTTATCTAATATCAAAGTTTAATTCTGAATTCAATGTCAACGGTGTTATGAAGCAACACATTGTCCCATTATCTGATCACCTCAGATCAACGAGGATCTGGAGGGAGAGGTCCGGTTTGCATCAGCAGTGGGTCCCTTCTCTGTGCCCGTCAGATGCACCATAAAGAAATGTGATGTGAGTCATGCTGTGTAGCACTCCTAGAGGAAATTACATTCAAATGACCAATGTTATTTTCATGCTTTGCTATTTTTCTAGCATTGCATATTTTTGTGGGTATACTGTACCACATTGTATTTATTGGCCTTATAGTAATATAAGGACAAATAGGATAAATAAAGTATCTATCTATCTATCTATCTATCTAATATAAGGGAAAATCGGAACAATAATGATGGAACAAATATGACAACCTAATGCAGTATTTGTATATGTATTTATGTATGTTAAACTCTGTACTTAAAAAAATTGGTACCACTTTACAATAAGACTACCCTTATAAACGATTCATAAAGGGTTTATAATTAGGTTATTAATTAGGTTGTAAACACTTTATTAATCATTAAGAACCATTTATAAACCAGTTCTAACATCAACACAGGCTCACTATTTGGCAAGATGACTAAGCCTTATATTGGCTACTTAGCGAGAATCAACTCGGTGAACAACAGATACTAAGGATGCTGGCTGATGAAGAAGACGAAGTACGCTAAGTAGCCAATATAAGGCTTAGCCGTACAGATAAATGTGGGCTCACTATTTGGCAAGCAACCGGTCACAGTTGCCCTGTTTATCTCATGTCTTATACAAGCTTATTAATGATTTATAAAGGGTCCACAACCTAATTAATAAATGAATTACAAACTATTCGTAAACCCTTTATAAGGGTAGTCTTATTGTAAAGTGGTACCAAAAAAATCTTCATTGCTAATGCTAATTTCTGTATATAAATGTATCCTCTCTCTAGATGGAAGTTGACAACCAGTTCATTGACTTTGGTTCGCACGTAGTCGGCCAAACTGTTTCATGGACTATCACCTTGACCAACAAGGGAGCTCTGGCCAGCCGCTTCAGCCTGGACACTTCCGCGTGTCTCAGTCCAGAAACTAGCCACGTCCAGATGGCATCCCATGTCTCTGCCAACACACGCCAGGTCAGCCTTTTGATCTGAAACTCGAGAGTTGCTTTTTGTGATGGCCTTATGGAGAAAATGTAATGCTACAAATTATAAACTAGATACAGCATATATGATGAATGTGTAGTCAATTCAAATAACCAGGTCCAAAGACACTCATATAAATAAACGTTCATGTACAAAGTCTGATGAGTTGCTGTTTGCTGACAGGAAACAAGCAGTCCAAACACAACATCTGGCAGCCAGAGCAGCTCTGTATCCATGGGGACTGGCAAACTCCAAGCAGAGGAGGAGAGTCAGCAGCTGTCTGAGCACCCAGGTAAATCTGTTAAACAGTTGGGGCCCCGGTTCGAATCCAACCAGGGGCCCTTTGCTTCATCTCATCCCCTGTCTCTTTCCTCCCTTCCTAGGTTTTTACTGTTGTGTTTATATAATAATAGCAAAACGGCCCAAAACATAAAACGTTTTAGAAAAGCACAAACAAAAGTTGTTAACATTCAGTATGCACAAACGCCCAAAATATTATTAAATGCTCATTTTTTTGTTAACCCTAAATTCAAGTTCTATATGAATTTAAAACTGGAACTGAAACCTGTCACTCAAAACCCAATCCATGTCATGCTAACTGGTGATGCTAAATTTGGTATCATTTCTTTCCTTTTTCTCCGCTACCCATATGTATCACGACCATTCCACACAACCTTTCAGTAATATCCAGGTAAACATGACAACCTTAATATTTCTCTATAACTGTAAGGCAAAAATACAAGATAAAAGGTAAAAATAAGCAGCAATTAACTTGTACTAACATTGTAAGTCTGCTAATGTTAATTAGCTAGACTAAAGTTAGCAAACGAACCTTAGCACAACAACAACAGATACAAGCTAGCCAGCTAGCTTACGTTAGCAAACTCCAAGTTATTTGCTCTTTAACGTCACTTTATAAACTTAGTTATATTATTTTTTTTTTACTTGGGTGTAATTGGTTGAGGTTGTACAGCTTTTTTACATAGATGAACACTTGCTATCCAACCCAGTCTCACGGCATTTCGTGTTATAGTCACGAAATTAATGTAATCTATTGATTCGTGTTCACCAACAACCCTAACCCCTTTTCGCATTTTTTTCGTGTCAGACAGAACGATTTTAAAAGCAATGCATTTCTATTGGTAGTATGTTTCGTGCCTGCACCACGTCTTTTTGTCCGGTCGGCCGGGTCTTGGAATACCGGAAGCTGTGTGGTTCATATAAACATTTTCTTACTCAATATCTTACCCTAAGCCTAACCCTATCCCTTTTATTTTAAATTGTATAATGTCTGAGTTTTTTTGCCATCCGCGAGGAAAAGAAATGGGGCTCAGAGCCTCAGAATACTGACATCTGTATTTTTTGTCATCTTTTTTTCCTTCTAATTTGTTATTATTTACATTGCTTTTAAAATCGTTCTGTGTGACACGAAAAAAATTGCGAAATCGTGTTGGTGAACACGAATCAATAGATTACATTTGTGACTATAACAAGAAATGCCGCGAGACTGTGTTGTGCTATCGTACCCTGATGATTATCTCTGTCATACCCAATTTCAGATTTCACTTTTTCCTCCAAGCTAAGGTCTCTAAAGGGTCCAACAGTTTAGGTTGGCCCCAAGCCTGGAGCTCTCTAGCTAGACCCTTCTCCTCAGAGCAGTTAAAATGGCTGTAGACTCCTGGTGTTGTTGTATAATATTTATCAGAGTTTTGAACAAAATCAATGCCAACTATAAGTTTGCAGTAGGATGTAGTGACCTTTTCAAAATGTAACAATCTTTAACACCCACAATCTTTCCTTGGCCTTAGCCAAGTGTTTTGAATGCTAAACAGAGCCATAATCATGCTTTAGTTACAAGAAGCTGTGTTGTAGGAAGAAAAATAGACTGACAGTAAATCAGTATTACGTTTTACTGTTATGTTTATGAAAATACAGCAGTATACTAATCATATTAGCATGTGCAGTTCTATATTAATATAATTTGCGAAGGACTGTTTCCTAAAACAGCCTCTGAAACACAGGAACTAAGAACAAAATCTCCTGTTGTGGGTGATTTCTCTCATCTCTTTATTCCTGTTAGGACATGCGGTCCTTGTAAGAAAAAAAAAGAGCGCACACACACAGAACGTGGAGGGTTCACCTTGCTCTCACAGCACTCTCTTTAATGTTCCCTCAGATCAGAAATCTTCATCACTACACTCAGCAGTTTCCTCCACTGATGCGTTGATAAGCTGCTCAGTCTTTCTTCTCTGTTCTGCTGGTTTGGAAAAGACTGAGTCTATTTTTCAATATTCACCATTGTTGCGAAAGGCTGTTTGATCTAGGCAGAATTTTTAGGCTGCTGACGTTACTGAATATTTTGCCTGTATTTGCTTTTAATGCCACCAATATCTCTTGAACTAATGGCCTGATTGGCATCACATTGAATGCGCCTATTCATGCTCCCAAGACAAGGTTTATTATTTTTCTAGGCCATCTGTCCAAATTCTGATGTGCTACTGTATCTGCTGCACCTTGCTCTAATAACACACTATTTGAAGTGCTCCCTCATACTGCCAGTAGGAAGAAGGCGTCTGATTTTGGTGGCCCTCATGAGCTTTCCCTTAGTGCCACCATGAGGCCGAATTTTGGGTTTTTCAAACCATAGATATATCGAGTTCACAGTGTTGTTGTTTTTGGAGGGTTGGCTGTTATCCCAAGACAGGTTGATCACTCAGCTATAGTGTGTGTGTGTGTGTGTGTGTGTGTGTGTGTGTGTGTGTGTGTGTGTGTGTGTGTGTGTGTGTGTGTGTGTGTGTGTGTGTGTGTGTGTGTGTGTGTGTGTGTGTGTGTGTGTGTGTGTGTGTGTGTGTGTGTGTGTGTGTGTGTGTGTGTGTTGTGTGTGTGTGTGTGTGTGTGTGTGTGTGTGTGTGTGTGTGTGTGTGTGTGTGTGTGTGTGTGTGTGTGTGTGTGTGTGTGTGTGTGTGTGTGTGTGTGTGTGTGTGTGTGTGTGTGTGTGTGGTGTGTGTGTGTGTGTGTGTGTGTGTGTGTGTGTGTGTGTGTGTGTGTGTGTGTGTGTGTGTGTGTGTGTGTGTGTGTGTGTGTGTGTGTGTGTGTGTGTGTGTGTCAGAGGCTTTAGCTGCAGGTCCAGAAGCTATTCCTGAGACGTGTGTGTCCACTGATGTGGATGCCCAGATGGACCAGAGCAACTCAGACTTTGGTGACATATGTCTAGGAAATGTAAGTATTTCAATCTTATCTTTTACAGTCAAAATGATGTTGACGATTCCATTACTTTTTTTTATAACAATTATTTTATAACTTCAAACCCTGATGCTACAGTCCATTTTACTCACCTGTCTTGTTAAGATACAGACTACAAGTGTAGGTGGCTTTAGACAACATGTCAGGGAATTATTCATAGATTCATCATCTATTAATGACGATGAATAGCTGTTTCACGACTGCTTGACCGATAAAACCTTCCCTGTGGCTGGCTGCATGTATAGGAAATGGTTATATTTGAAGTTATTGGACTTATCTGTGTAACTAGACCAGAGAGATACCCAATCTATTTCTTAGACAGATTATTATTTGCATTTGTGGAAAACTTCCTGCCTCTCCGTTTTGTTTTTAGCTCAGTGTGCCTTGTGGCCCATATGAAGTTGTGGAGTTGTTCAGGGTTCATTACGTCTCTCTGGTGGGGGGCTAATGGTGTGCTGCCTCTCCCTCTGCGCCTGTTATGGCTGTGTGTGTGTGCGGCATGTCTGCATGCCCGTGGCTCGATTATTGTCATTATGAGTGATACTTTCACATTGTGTGGTTGAAGGCTGGTGTCTTATATGGCAGATTATCCATCATGCTGTTGTTGTCACACCATATTGAGTCTGTTGCTGCACGATTGGCTCACTCTTTAGTTTTTGTATTATTTCTCTCACCACCTTTATGCCTTGGAGCTGACTAAACAATCGCTTCTCACTGTACGTAGTATGATTAAATGCTATTTAAGAGAACTGAGAGATTTCAGCTTCCCCTACATTGACAGAAATGGTTTGTGTCGTGGAATAAAACAGTTAAACCGAATTCAGCCAGATAAAAGCTCTTGGAGCTCAGTTAAAAACACTCAAGGTCATAGGCTAACTTTTGTTTTAGTGAGATGTTCATCTGAGTAAAATTGTCATCTCACATTTGTTTTGTGGAATACTTTTCGACTGTAACATACAATATGTCATGTTTGATGTACCCTCCTTCTAGGTAAAAGAAGGGGAGATTGGTCCTTTCGAAAGCATCAGACTGGAGGTCATATTCACTCCAACCATTCCAGGAGAGAGCAAACTGGACTTCCACATCAGATTCTCTGGCTTAACCAGCAAACCAGTAAGACACTACGATTCTATCACCTTGGGAATGTAATTAAAAACAAGATAAGGGTAGACATTAAAAAAATGATAGAGCCATAGAGAGACTGTTATTCTATGTAAACCAAACGTTTTTTGTACCTACAGATACCCATCCAGGTGAAGGGGGTGGCAGTCAGCGTCCCTGTCTGGGTGGTTCAGCCCAGCATTGACCTGAAGATCTGCATGTTTGATCGCCTCTATCAAGACAGCATCGTGGTCCAAAGCAGGTCGGTCCCATACACTGTGATTGCTGACTGATTTTTCATGTAGATAAACCCCTTGATGCAGAAATGTTGTTGTGAAACCTGCACTGTTGCACTTGTGTTATTTTAGTTTCCTGCTAAGCTTCCAATCATAACCCAGAATTGTGTTCTGACGTCTCACTTATTTTCATCTATACAACAGTACCTAGAAGTTGAAAATGTTTTGTATATCTACTTATTTGTTGTTGAAATTAATCAGGAAATCCCTAGAGTAAAGTTTAAAATGTAGCTGCGTACCTTGTTAGCTTAATTCCTGTGTCATACTTAACACTATAATACAATAAATGTAATTTAATGGAGAAATCCACCCGAGACATTTGAAACAGTCGCTCTGCCCTTTTTATTGAATACTACGTGTTTTATATCCCGTGTTGATGCCCAATTGGTTTACATCCATTGACACATCTGTCTTGACGAATTAAGGGCAGCGAGACGTCATTAGTTTTCATATCAGTGTCACTTTAAGTAATCATTGGTCACAGTTGGAGAACATAATGGATCAAGGGCAAACATAGTGTGCCAAGAAACTATACGAAGCATTATCTGAGTTCCATTACTTTTAATGTTAGGTAAAGGTTGTAATTAAAACAACAGGCAACAGTAATTGTGAAGGACAATGAGACCTCAGGGTTGCTTTTATTTTACGGCCAGGTTAATTCTTTTTTTAAGCCTTCGTACTGTTTCAAATGTCCTTGTTTGTATTACATTTAGTTAAACTCATCGTTTTTTACTTTAGGTCAAGTTTTATTTGAGTCTGGGCATTGTTGTGTTATCTTAGTCAAATAAAATTAGATTTTTTTTTAATTTTAGTCAATGAAAAATAGAGAGAGATTTTGGTAGAGTTTATATTTTTTAAACTTCATTTTAGTCTTTTGCTGTTACACGATATTTCATGTTAATAACAATGCACACAGTATTTTATGACTTCGGACCTGCCCGATCTTTTTATCTTGGTCATGAAAAAAAAGGTTGTGGACCAACATACATACATACATTATATATTTCGTAAAGAAATTAGACAGTTTTAGGTGTTCCTTGGTTTCCTCATAGTTTTCTTTAAAATAAATCAAAATCACCTCTTTTAGGATGAGTGTAAGTGATCACCAGAAATCAGCAAGATGGAGCAGTGAAACTGTTCTAAATATAACATGCACTAGTACACAGTACATTTCTCTGAGTAAAATTGACTCAAATTGAAGAAAATGTTACTCTAAAAATATTACATTTGGTCCCAACCTATATAGAGTAAAATGTACTCTTTGTTCAGAGTTGTATTTTTAGAGTTCATTTTAGTCTATTATGTGCTTAGATTTGACTCTGCTTAATGGTTATTTACTCTATGTAGTGGATATTAAAAACAACTCTACTGCCATTTTACTCCCAATAGAAGGTCATTTCACTCAGAATAGAATAAATGAACCATAATGATCTTTACAATAAAAAAGGTCAATAAACCAAAGTGCTTAAGGAACATGAGTGGGCGTGTGTGAAGCTGACCATTGAGCGGCCCGACCAAGCAAGGAGGCAGAGAGTTCAAATACAACCCGGTGTGGGCATTTATTCCTCTTTGTGGTACAGGATACACAGCCTCAATATGACTGTCTCACGTGAACACAGTCACGGACCGTCTCCACAGCAGCGTTAAAAAATCTTGAAACGCTTCTGCCCATTCACTTTGAATGGGGTGACGTCACTTTCCCTCACTTTTCGCCGAAATGCATTGTGGGCAGGCGAGCGGAGATTCTCAGGATTTTCAAGATTCAAAGTTGAACAATGTTCAACTTTTGAAGCTGAGGTGGAAGCGGCAGCCAATCAAATCCCGTGTACGCAAATCTGGCAGTTCAAGCTCTAGCCAATCAAACGGCGTGTATGCTGGGAGAGACATACCGCAGATCATTTCCTCATATTCCAAAAAATGGAGGAGAAATTAGCGGTAGCGAATCAATCACCCGGTGCTTTATGACCAGACCTACCGGGATATAAACCGGAGGAGCCAGGCATGGAGGGAGGTGGCAGAGACAGTGGTATGTTTTCGCCTGTTTTGGGGAGTTTATATCCAGTTTACTTCGGGCTTTTTGGCTTCGTATGTCGCGGGCGGGAGATTCATGTGATTGGTTGATCGCAAAAAAATCCCCAAGCCTCAGATACGCCCACCTCCAAGATTTTTTTAACGCTGCTGTGGAGACGGTCCGTCACCAGTCACCAGTCACCAGTCACCAGTCACCAGTCACCAGTCACCAGTCACCAGTCACCAGTCACCAGTCACCAGTCACCAGTCACCAGTCACCAGTCACCAGTCACCAGTCACCAGTCACCAGTCACCAGTCACCAGTCACCAGTCACCAGCCACCAGCCACCAGCCACCAGCCACCAGCCACCAGCCACCAGCCACCAGCCACCAGCCACCAGCCACCAGCCACCAGCCACCAGCCACCAGCCACCAGCCACCAGCCACCAGCCACCAGCCACCAGCCACCAGCCACCAGCCACCAGGACCTCACCCACCAGGACCTCACACACACACTAACAGGAAAACAGAACCTAAATACACACAGGACTAATCAAACCAACAAGACACAGGTGAGGAGGGAGGAGAAACACAGGGCACCAGGTGAACGCAATCACCAGCAACAGACAAGACGGGAGGGGGAACACTTTTCAAACTAAAACAGGAAACAGAGACAGACAAACTAAAACATAGACAGATTGTGACAAATATATGCATAAATTACATATAATCACATGCTTCCTGTGCAATGTTTTAGCGTGGAACAAATGATTATACTTCGCCAATAATGAAGCTATATAATCCGTAACGGAGACCGAGATCAATGGCCCCAGAGATCACCTCCGTTACAGCGTGGTCATGGTTTAACTCCAATAGAATTGACTCTGCATTTTTGATCGCACTCTAGAAGCTATGAGTAATAAATACACTCCAAAATGATTAAATATCACTATTTCAGAGCAAAATAGTAATTACTCTGGAAAAAATACTCACCAATATTTCCTGTGTAGTGATACTGTTTTGTATTGGTTTTGTGGCTTCCCCCATCTAAAGCAGTAAATGGCTTTATTTCCTTGCCATTTGGTGTTGGCGCGCTGACAGCCTTCTACTGTACCGTGTACAATATAAAAACCCACTTAAAACATCCCGGCTATATCTGAAAGAGACAGTTTAAAACCCCTCAGCCCAATGAGATGACTGCAGAAGGGAGTGTTACATGTCATATTTTCATTTTAGTCGTTGTCATGCTGACTTATTAGGGTTTGGAAAGTGGCATGGACTGCTGATGTAGCATGTTGGCTTATGTGCTGAATGCAATACTAAAACTCCCTCACACACTCTTTGCCAAAGCAATCATTTCCACAGAAAACCGGCTCATTGAAATCCCTTAAAACGGACCAGTCCAGCTTACTTTTCAGATGTCTCAACATAAAACTCTCTTAACCATGCTCAGAGCCAAGTATTGAGATAAATAAAATACCGATGCATTATCTGATAAATATTCTTTTAACAAAGGATGACGCAATGAACCGAGCGGTAAGCTCACATCCCCACAATCCTCTTTGGTCCACACAATAGCACAGGGTAACAGGAAATCCTTTGTGAGGCCACGATACAGTATAATGCTCACACAAGGTTAAAGATTCACCGGGGGCAGAGACATTTGCAGACGTGTGGTCCACCACCTAGCCTGTCATTGTGTCACATCACGTGGGGGAGGGAGTGCATGTGTGGGGGTGGAGGATTTGTGACAACTGCCATCTGGTGCGCTGGCACAACAGCACATGTGACAAGATGACGAAGACGGCATCAGTGTGAACAGCAGGCTTTAAATACAAAAATGTTGACGCTTGCACCAGCAAACCATGCAATATGTCACTCTTCCTCCAACACTGTAATTTGAACAAAAAATAGCTTGGCAGGCTTTTTGGGGAAACAATAAAAGAGCGTCTGCTTTTATCGTACAATTTGTCACTTCTTCCTTTGAGTAGATGATGAGATATCGCACAAGTCCTCCTTAGTTTGTGACAGATCTTTATAAGCATAATTTAATATTATTATTTTCTGAGAGCCAGGGATTTTAACATTTTTTGCCAGCAAATCATTAGAATATAGTACACACAGTTGGCAGAGTTTAAAAAGATATTGGGCGGGCAAGGCTTTTTTTTGCATCCTGGACTTTCAAACCCTCCTCCCTTGGTACCTGCTGGGAGTTCAGCGTTCCTGCCCAAACTCAGGCCACAAAGAAAACAAACAAGCTGCTTTTTTTTTCTTCACAAAGCCTTCTGTCCTTGATTTCTCTCTGTCTTATATGCCTACTGTGCCTTCGTCCATCCTGTCTCCTATGTTGTTTGGCAAGAGGAATTCGTGTTAGTATTTGATGTTAGAGTTCTTTTTTATTTAATTTTTTGTGATAATAGATTTATATCTTTCTTTTCCATCTGGTATTTTGAAATATACGATACGTCAATAAGCAGACAGTGCTGCATTATTGGGATGGTTCCATACAAGTGTTTCCGTGAAGGCTTGGTTTCCCTTGAGGCTTGGGAGTACACATAGAGAAATGATCTGCATTCTGGCTATACAGCATCATGGTTATTGCAGGCACTCTGTTTCCCCACAAGAACATCAACATACTGACATGGATGGCACGGCTCTCACCAAATGGGGAAGACATCAACAAATAGACCATTTGATGATCAACTACAAGAGGAGATGCTTGTTGAGAGATGTCAAAGTGTAAAGAGGAGTCTCTCGTGACCACCACTCTGATATAGCATCAAATTGAAGCGAAGGAGAGTAGGACCACCAACAGGAGGATCTCAAAGATTGGATGCATTCTGAAAGACCCATCCATGAAGAACAAAAATCCCAATACAAGCCCAGAGTAGATATCAAGCCCCCTCGAATAATCCAAGGAAAGATGATGAGGAGCATGAGGCCAGGATCATCAAACATAAGGCAAACATATTTGCAATCTACGACAAAACTATCAAGAAACAACGCGGGAGATGGAACATGGGAGACTATACAACAAACACAAATAACAAATCACCTAGGTTCAAACAAGACCTACACGTTTAGTACCAAAACACCAACACACAGGTAAAAAGGCCAGTAAGGAGTTGGCCTACCTTGAAGATATGCAACTGAAAAAGCAGCTTTGTTATATTATCAAGGAACATCCTACAAAATCATCAATGTGATATGTGGAACACAATTTAGAACCAATTACCAAATCCATGACAAGCAGGGACAACTACTCTTTTTTTTTTTTTTTTACAAGTCTTTTTATTTCATTATAGTGTACAATAATCGATGCCATTTCATTTACATTGTAATATCACAGTACACTCACTACACTCCCCCCTCCCTCCCTCCCTCCACCCGCACATGCCCACACAGGCAAAACCAAAAAATGCTTATCAAGATAACTTAAACAACAGAGCCATGAAAATAAACATAAAAAGGTCATTTAAAACACATCAAAGTAAAACAAACAAAGGGACAACTACTTAACGCTGAAAAGAAACAAGAGAAAAATGGACAGAGCATTTCAGAGGTTTTTATCTACAGAGATCTCCCCAACATCCAATAGAAACACAATCATTTGCAGAAGACCTGGGCATCCATATGAACCAACCAACAAAAATATATATGAAAGACATTAAATCCTTTGTATTCTAAACCAGATCAATAAAGCACTCACAACCTTCTTAAGCTTTAACACATCTGGAAATCCAAGCAATACACCACCAAAACCAAACTATGAATCTACCAACACTTTTTTCCATCAACACAACACTGTATATCCACCTTTCAAACAGCATGCCAATGTAGGATCTAGCATATGTTCTGGCCAAAGACAATCTCCAATAATAACTGTCTCAAAATAACCCATACAGATGACACTCCTTACTGAAAAGAGGCAGGTGGGTCTGGATTGGCCATGTGCTCACAATCAAAGTAATCCCTAGAGTCGCTTTACTCTGCACCCCAGGAGGTAAGCAAAGGAAAGGGAGGACCAAAATAACATGGCGCAGGACGATAGAGAAAGAATTCCAACACCAACCTCACAGTGGGGAAACCATAGAGAAATGGGCCAAAAACAGAGGGAAGTCCAGAGGCTTTGTTTCTTTGTTGTTTGGAATGAGTGAGTGAGAAAGATAACGTATTAAGGAAATCCTCTTGGAGGTGAATCTCACATTTTAAGTTAAGAAATGCTTTCCTAGAACACAGTTTCTGTTTTAATATGTAAAGCGACAACCAAATAAAACTGTATAATGTGCTGATTACATAATCATTGTGAGTTTTACCTCAAGGCAGCAAATGACGTGAAATGATGTTTAGTGACCTTTAAATCACTAGACATTGCTTCAGAAATAAGCTAGTCACAGGCAGCCAGTGAAAAAGATAGGATCAGCTAAATGCCCCTGTTGATTAAAATTATAATGGCCCTAAATGATTATGTACCCATGAATACTCTTCTGAGAGTTTCTTGAAGGTTATCATTTGGCCTGAATAAAGATAGCGACTTAATACCCCCAAGTGTTCCTGAGAGTTCTTGCCTCGCGGAAACAACCATCTGGTTGACCTCTCTGTTCAAAGTGGGGCATTTCGTTTGAGAGGGGGAATCGAAAAATGAGGGGTCCCTTGGGTCGATTTCGCCACAGCTCACTCTTCGCTCACCTTTGTATCTCTGAGGATGAAAGCAGACATAACAAAATGTTACACGCATTTCACCTCTAGTTTATTTCATTGTGTTTGTACTGTCATCGTTGTCTGAAGGTGTAAACGTGTGGGCTGTGGTTGGATGTGTTAGAGAATTCCCAAGGTGAAGAGCCATTTATAAAATAGCTTCAGCTATAACTGAGGCTTGTAGCCACAGGCACAACCATCTGGAGCTCCTGGAAAATTGGGTGACCTAAATGATTTGGACTGCGGGGTACATCAATCCATAAAAGGCAATTTGTCTGTCACTCAAACTAAAAGTATTTTCTCTGTCTGTTCTTCAGTCCCTGGGGGGTAAAAGGTAAAGATCCACTGGGCATTGCACCTGGCAGATGTTCTTTTGTTTTTGTTGCTGTTATATGAAATGGATGGCTCACCTCAACGCTGCTTTCATGTTGTCTTTTTTATGCCAGAAAAAGTCAACAGCATTTCCTGTGCAATATATCCTGTGCAATATTGCCTGAGCGTTACTGCCTGTGCATTATTATTCAGTAGCAGTACAGACAGCCCTTGATGACCCCCTTTTTTACAGGTATGCACTTGCTGTGTTAGCATTAAGCTAATGAAACTATTGCATTACAGAGCCAGCACAGCCTTGAAGCTGACCTTTGAGGTGTGCCCGGAAATGAGGAAACACATGGAGATCCTTCCAAAGACGGGTTTCATCCAAGCTCAATCGAGATTCAACGCCCAACTCAAGTTCCTGCCGAGGTAAGGAAGGACACGCAGAGGATGCAATGATAATGGAACCACTGGAGCATTCATAATCTTATTTTAGACCTAAAGCTTGTTAAGATTCTATCAACCTTCTATTAAAGTGCAATCGGTTTTCCCTTCAAGCTAGTTTTCTTGTTGAAAAACTGCTATGGATTGTACATTCTGCACATACTGTAGAAAAGTCTGTGTTAAGAGTTCTTGGATGTATATAGAGATGTTAGTTGACCCCAATTAACAAATACCTCTTTACACCACTTAACCTTAAATATATAATGTTGACAGTATTGCCTGGTACGTGTGTTACTGCAAAGCTTATGATAGCTTCCCTTTTTGATATAAACAAGCTTTGGAGTCTAACGGAGGTACAATCTATAGCCAGTCAACAGCCAGCGGGTATAGCCAGACTTGCTTCCACACACCTGCACTCTGAGCGTAATGGTTTCTAATGACTTTGGAGGACATGGTAATTCTTCCTACAACAATAGCGGCTCTATATTTAGCCGGAGAGGCAGGAGTTGAACTGCAGTTTGAATGCCAGGAGAGCGGACAGGAGACCCCCAGGGCAAATATGAGAGGCGTGCAGTATGAAAAAACTCAGCGTGGGCACTCTTCTGCCCACCCTCCTTTTTTTTTTACCTCGCAGTTCTTCGATAGCTGATGCTAAAACAATACATATTAACAGGAGGAATCTTTCCTCAAATACGATAAAAATGAAGGCCGTGCAGCAGTCATCGTTCAGGAAGGGGGCAGGAGGGAAAAGTGGGAAAATGTCAGTAATCTGCTTTAGTGAATCAGCAGAGGTTTTAATGCGCGGCTTAGAGTACAGCATTACTCGTGCAGCACTAACGCTGCAGCCACAGCTACCACCCCCTCCCTACTCTTGCTGTATCACACTTCTTCTCTTCTGTGTCTCCATCTCTCTGCTCCTGCGCTGTCTTCTCCCACTCTCTTTTTCTTGGCCTCTCACCTCCCTTCACTCTCATTGCCTTTCTCTACACTCCTCTATCACTTCCCCTCTCACTCTGCATCCATTCTGCCTCTCTCTGTTACTCTCAAACTCTTCCTCTCGTCCCTCTGTGTATCCACCGTCCACCGCTGCTTATATGCTGGAACCTGATTCTGATTACATAACCTGAGACACCAGAGCCAGCTTCAAAGGTTAAATCCAGTTTATTACATCGTCTTACTGAGATAATTGCTGAGATTGTGGAACAGATTGATATTGCGAACAAAATAAGCTTGACGACAGCCTGAATTTCACATTATTGTTTATCAGTGGTGGAAACCAAGTACATGTACTACAAGTACTGTACTGAAATAATAATGATAATAATAATTCAAGTTAGTACTTCTACTTGAGTATGGGAGTATTTTCTTTTCATGCTACTTTATATTTTTACTCTACTACACTTCCAAGGGAAACATTGTACTTTTTACTTCTCTACATATTTCTTACCTCTGTCGTTACTTGGTATTTTTATATGAATTTGTTTGCAAAAGAAACAAAAGTTTACAAATATTTCTTTTTTCAAATGTGTGATAAAGTCGACTAATTACCTAGCCAACTAAGAGATAGTTAATCGGCACCTAAAAACATTTCTAATTTATTTAGAAAACGTTTAAAAGGTCCCATGTCATGGCCATTTCTACTGATCATAATTCCATTGTTGAGGTCTATAGAATAGATTTACATTGTTCAATTTCAACTCACATTGGTTTCTCATACAGCATCTCTGTATCGTATGTGTATTCACTCTCTGTCCTACACGGCTTGTTGGAGCTCCTGCCCCCCCCCTCCCTATGAGCCCACTGTGCTCTGATTGGTCAGCTCGCCCACTCTGTTCTGATGAGTCCACCACTATGGTCTTCCACCGTTACAGCGGAACATCAGTGATTATGTGTTACAATGGCGTTAGCAACCAGAAAATGACACCGGTAATGACAAACAGATGAGAATGCTGCGTGGGGTCTGGGTGCCGTGTTGGCGGGACGTTGCGCGGCTCGCTGCTGCGAGGAGCGGACAGTGTGAGCTGGGTTCATTTCCTGCTCCAAATGTGGCGCACCTACAGTGTAAGCGCGCCACAGTTTCGCCGCTGCGAGGCTCCACTAGCACCCCCCCCCCCGCGCGTCACAGTTTCACCGCTGAGAGAGTGTGTGTGTGTGTGTGTGTGTGTGAGGATTGGGTCCATTTGGGTATGGGCACGTCACAGAACCCAGGAAGACAACAATGGAAAAAGAAAAATCTCCAACGAGGAGTTCTGGGGGAGCATAGACACGTCTTTTCTGTGTTAGAGTTTTACTCGCTACAGGGTGTACTTTGAGGGTTTGTGACTTTGCAGACCGTTTACATGCATAAAAACCTTCATAACACACAAGGGGACGGGTAATAACCGGAAAAGCATGACATGGGACCTTTAAAGGGGCTGCTCATTTCTAGGTTCCTATTTGTAGTGTGTGCCTCTACTGCGACATGTTTCCATGCTTTAATGTTCAAAATGGTCTGTATTTTTCTCATACTGCATGTGCTGCGTCATCTCTTTTCACCCTCTGTCTGAAACCAGAGCCCAGTCTGCTCTGATTGGTCGGCTGGCAGCTCTGTTGTGATTGGTCAAGCGCCCTCTGACAATAAAAGCTTGAGCGTTACAAAGTGTTGTCATTATGTTACAGAAGTAAGCAAAGTAGTCAAATAGAGGCATTTCAGGCAGAGGGAGAGAAACTCCCTCTGGAGGGGGACTTTGAGAGTTTAGCCTTTGCTGACCACATGCACACAAACCTATATAACACACTACAGGAAAGTGAAAACCTCAAAAACCATACTAGTGCCCCTTTAAGATTTTAGGATGTTTTTTATGATTTTTTGTTGTTGTTGCATTTGTTAACTCTTATGTTTAATATTTAAAGTAGATTTTGCTGATTATATTTACTTACTTTAACTTAAATACCATTTTAAGGGCATGATTTTTACAGTGTGGTTTAACTAATTTGAGTTAAATATTTGTAATCTTCTTCCACTCCTGTAATTTAGTCTGACATTGTGTTCCTATTTGTGGATTTTTTGTTGGTGGTTGTTATTTTGCCTCCGTCATGGTTGGATCTCGCCTTCTAATCTGTCAAATTTTTGGCAGATTGGCTTTTGTTTTATTCACTGGTGGTGTGTCATTAAAAAGGCACTGCCAATGTTTTCCTACCCAGAGCCTGATTGGATTTCTAAATCCTCATTAGCAGCACTGCCTTCACTCACTGTCTCCTCCACACATACTCATACACAGTTAAATCTGGATTCCAAATGACTCATAGCTTTCATTCTTTACTCAGGTGCTTGCTTCTTGCCTCCCCTCCTCGGGCTTTAGGGAGAGGGTGAGCAGCACATTCTCGCTTCCTGCTCTGGAGGATTGTGCTCAACCTACCCACATCCGTCAATGTCTTTCCTTTGCTTCATCCCTCTCTGCCTGCCTTCCTCCACTTTTATTTGTCACCATGCAACCCACATGTTCCTCTCACATATCCAATGCATTGTTCCATACACTGTTTGCGACCCTGTTCAGCGAAGAGGAATTCAGAAGGAAACAGAAAACATGAAATTGTGTTCAAGTAACCAATTACTGTTTGGGAGAAGGGGTTATTTTGTCATTCACATACGACATAAAAGTTGCATTGGTTGTTCCTTGGAGTGTTTCAGCATAACTGACAAAGTATGGAGTTTTAAAGGGATATTTTGAAGTGTTTCAGGTGGGGTTGTATGACATCTGTCTCCATAGTTACATTAAAAATAAGTTACGCCCCTTTTTGGGATAAACCGACAGGAGTTACAACCTCAAAGAAAAGCAATTAACTACTTTTCATGGGGGCAGAAGCAAACCATATTTTTACCATCAAAAACATGGCCAACCTTGAAAAGTCTATATCACTTCAAGTATACGATATTTTTTTCAAATATTTTTAACACTTTAAATTTGACAACAACTCTTATTTTAGCTCCCAAAACAAAATAGTTTCTGGTCGCTGCTGTTTCCAGCATCTCTTGTGTTCTACAAGGTCAAAATACATATTTTCTTCAATCATTTGTTTTGTCAAGTCTGGTGGCTTTAAAGAGATGATGGATAAAACCTTTAGTCACCCATACGAAAGGAAAGCTGACTGCATGGTAAAGCAGGGGAAATATTCTAGAAATGCTGTTCTTGACACAGATATTCAGTTCTATTTCGTCCCTACTGACCGCCAGAGGCGGTGCTTTAGCACTGGATATATCCATCGCACGCATGCGCAGTTCGAGTACCTAATAACAACAAAGTCACCTGTGACCCACGTGACGACGGCTACATAGGCCGGCGTCATTAGCAGATTGGTTCCTTTTCATCTTCTCGCTTCGCGAGAGTACCGTGGTTGCATTTTTGTAACCTACAAGCGTTCGTTGGAACGTTAGATCTAAGGATTTCCCCGCATACAGCCGGCTGCGTGCAGTTTCGCGACTATTCCAGTCGGGGCTACGGGCTACCCGTCCCACAGGAGCTGTGGCCGGCTACGCGGAAAACTTCGACGGACAGGTTGGTGTCGGCTTGGTCGGTGATGGCAGTGTTTCCGCTCCCTCTCCCAGCTAAGCTGTGCTGATTTCTGATTGTCTTGTTTACTATTGGCTTTAACTTTTTTGGTGACGGTGTCACCGAATAAATTGTGGGACGAACAACTGGTGATATTCTATTATTTTAGACAGATGTATCGGGGCGTGTACCTTGAGGACCCATTGTTGACTCACCGGGAAAGAAACATCTCGATCGCTTCGCCTGTCGTTCAAATTCATCTTTTGGTATATCTGACTGAATAGGAACACTTTGATGCACGTTCAGTACGCGTATGTGAGGTTGTGGGTGAGAGGCTGATATCGTGAAGCTTACAGTGAGGACTAGAAAATGACAAAGTAGGTGACTGTGGGGATGCCTGTGCAAAACATTGCAAACTTTAATAAATCATTTTAACAATATATTTTTGTCAGAGTT